TACCTGTGGATGATCCTAAGAGACCAAGTCTGAAGAGACAGTCCCCAGGCAGAGTAGGCCTTATATTTATACCTCTGTGGTGGAACCTGCTAGAACATCTTGCTTACTCAGCCTAGTCAGGTGATCAGGTCATATGACCAAGGATGAGGTCATATGAGATCATGCACAGCCATGCACAGCAGGTCACCTGACCATCCAATCCTTCCAGCAGGTTCCAGCACATGCCAAGGTATACCAGCTACTTCCATGTCATAAAGGCTTAGTCATGTCTCTTGACCAAGCAATGAGCTGGTGCCCTGACATTGCCAAAGACACCCATTCTCTGTTGACCAACACAATTACCTTGCCCAAGCCACAGACACCTATGTCAGTCAATATTGTGGAGGACCTGCTCATCGAGCTGCTAGACCAACCCATTGCTCTTCCAGCAAGTTGACCAAGCTCACCCAGCAGAATGGAGGTCAATGATGTTAACTATGACACATTCCAAGTGGACAGCATTGACCCTGATGATGGCATCCCTGTTTGTTTGCTGGACATTCCACAAGTAACAGCTCTGCCAGAGTTGGAATCCAACACCCCAGCAACAGATCCTTGGTGATGGTATCTCTTGGTGCATGCCAATGCAGCAGTTTGGGGCCTATGCTTGTTGCTGTTACACATGCACACACAATATCAGCTTCCTCACAGGGCATGTGCATTTCTGGTGACAATGGTTTATTCAATGCTCAAGTTCTTCTGGGTGCTGTGTATGCTCCTGATGCTGCTCCTCCTTGCACTCTGAACACCATGTACAGGTGCATGGGACTCTGGGACAGATTTGAGGTGAAAGTCATGTGCCTGAAGTGCTGGGCATTTGAACATTTTGACAATGAGCAGGTGGATCTGGATCTCCTCTATGACCTCAGTGTAATGATACCCAGCAAGACCGCAGACACCTGGCAATGATTCTGCCTGTGGTGTGCCACCCCTCTGTATGAGAAACCAAAATCCAAAATTCCTTGTCTGATACAGCAAGCTCCCTACAATCTGCTATCTCGACAACTGCTGGAATGTCTTGGTCAACCTGGCATTGAAGATGCCTGCAAGTCATACTTGGATCAGGCTGGAGTTCTGGGGTGCTTCACTTGTGTTCAAGATGGGAGCATATGGAAAGAGATGAAGGCCCCAGATGGGTCCACTTTCTTTCCCTGCACCAGGGAAGAAGCAACCCAACAAGCAGAGCTGCACATGGGAGTATTTGTGTCAATGGACTGGTGAGCATGCCATTTCCTGTACTCATACATGCCCTGATCATTGTGCAGGTTTAATCCAAACAACTCAACAGTTGCTGAAGCACACAGCACCAGACTGCTGTCTGTGTGCATTGCCAATCTCCCCACAGAACTCAGGTATGTCCATTGACTTGCAAATACAACTTACATACTTACCCAGTCTCAGGTTTTGGGTGCATAACCTCTGCCTAGTAGGTATTCTACCAGGTCCCAATGAGCCCAAATGCAAGGAACTTCAGCACTTTCTTTGGCCACTTGTGGATGATCTGGAATGGCTGTATCATCATGGCATCAAGACTGTCACACTGAAGTATCCTGCAGGTGCGTCAGCATTGACCAACATGATTACCTTAGGTTGGCATTCATCTCACTTGACCATTATTTAGGTTGTGTGGTCTGAGCTGTCTTGCTTGGGGTTATTTGTGATCATCCAGCACTCTGCAAGATGCTTGGATTCACAGATCAAAGGCACAGCAAGCAGCCATGTATGCAGTGTGAAATGTCTTGGGAGGACATGATTCAACACAGATGGCTCTGCGGGGCAGGTCTGGCCTGAGATGGAGAGCTGCATAAATGTTGTACAGCCCAAATGTATCAAATGCAGCATTCAGGAGCACCCAAGAATCAAGTCAATAAGTACTTTTCATGATATGGAGTGCAGTGGTCCAAGTTTTTCCATTTGCCCACTTTCAACCTGGTAATTCATGGGGTGCTTGACCCAATGCATCTATTTCTACAAGGTGAGCCCACTTGCTCTTGTGGACAACTTACTGACTGCAGAACAGGTGCAATCAAAACACTCTTCTACAATGGATGGGTTCTTGGTGGAAAGGAGGAGTATCTGGTTCTGAGACAAGGTACTGAAGCAGGCACACAGTGGGAACTCGATGAAATTCATGAGATTCTTGCAATGGTTAGTGCTGTGCATGCAGGATGTTGTCACTTCTGGCTAAACTGCCCACAAGTTTGAAATGCCAGCTTGGTGTGCCAGGCTACCTCTGAAGGTTGGATACCTGGCCAGTGGTAACCTAACATTGGATGAATGGCGAGCTCTTGCCATTCTTTATGGTCCTGCTGCTGTGAGTAAAGTTTGACTTATTGGTGCGCCAGTTACAAAGTAGCACTAGCTGCCTCCAGTGCTCAACAAGGTGCTGTCACAGGACCTGATCCAAAGGAAGAGAGTAAAGAAAGGAGCTGCCTCTGCAACTGCGACTACCCAGCCCCTGCCCACAGGATTGCCTGATGATTTTGTAGATGTAGCAGACCAGACAAACCTGCCCAAACACCTGCATCCTGATGCACCAAAGAACTTCCTTAAGTTTGTGACAGCACTGAAGATATTCACATGGTGAGAGATCTCCAAGGGAGACATCCGGCGCACAGCCAGCCTGTATTTGGAGTACTTCAAGGAGTATACAAGGGTAAGCACATCAACCAACATGATTACCTAACCCCAATTTCCTAATAGCTTGATCAGATCTATGGAGCAGCCAATATAACCCCAACTTTCCATTGGATCATGCACATGAGCAATCAAATCCATCAGTATGGCCCAGTTCATGGATTTTGGACTTTTCTATTTGAGCATTTGAACAAGGTTCTGAGGTTGATTAAGACCAATGGGCATTGGGGTGGGGTTGTCAAAGTTACATTTGCCTGAGAGTTCAAGCAGGAAGTAAGCCTGGCTAGACTGGTAAGTATATCTTTCCTTCCCAGATCAACACATGTGGATCACAACTGGATTAAGCAAGGTGCAGTAACAAACCATGATATTATGTCAAGCACTATCCTACTGAGTTGAATCTATTCTAGAGCAGCAGGGAGGTGTAAGGAAAGAATTGACCATAGAAGAAAGTGAGTTGCTTTCTTCAAAGTTATCCAAATGGTTATGGGATGTGGGCTAACTGAGCATTTTATGCACAAGACTTAGGTGGATTGTATGATAGCTACAAGATATGGAAGATATCCACAATCGTCAGTTCTGGGGGTGGTATTGCTTCACTGCAAGTTTGGACTTTGTTGCTCTTGACCAACATGGTCACCTTACCATCAAGATCTGCGGCATTCAAGCACCAGCGTCCAGGATGCTGTTGAGCAGCTCTATGGGAATGGCGGAAGGGAGCTGTGTCTAACGGATCCAGTCCAGCTGCTTCAGGAGCTCCTCCCCCTTCCACAGCTCATGGATCATGCAGTTGTAGGGTGTCCAGCTGGGCTTGAGGAAGAAGGTGCATCTGCAGTCAATTCTTTTGGCCTCATGGACTTTGCTCTTCCCTCTCCCCCAGGCAGCTGACTCCCTTGCATAATCTGCAATGGCTCCTTGGAAGAAGTGCCACAGCTGTTATTTGAGTGAGTAGTGGTTGACCTGGTTTAGCCTTCACTGGACTTACTGCCTTGTTCAGCCATACAGGTTGGCACACCTCCCAGACATCAAGATCCGGATCATCCCTCTCAAAGACCAACAGCATGCCCATTGCATACAGCCAGTCTTGCCATGTCTGGCTCTTCATTCCATCTTCATTGCAAGACCATTCCTTGCCGACCCAGTGTTCATGCACAAACTGGGACTTGAAAATGGCATGATCCAGGCTGTGCTTCTCACAGAAAGTCATGAGGGAGCAGCAAAGCTGGGCAGCTTGCTGATTATTGGTAAGCATGTGCTTTGATCCTTCTGGGTAAGGATGCTCACCAACTTGTGCCTCTCAAACCTCCTGGCTGCCCTTGCCTTCACAATGTCTCCCACCCCACCATCAAGCAGCACAGCTCACTGAGCTTTGTAGATCTGCTTCATATTGGGCCATGAAGCATGGCCAAGCTCCTGCAGCATGGGCAAGGTGAGCCACTTGTCCCGCAGTTCTTTGGGCACATTGCCAGCTGAGTTGCCCTATTTCCAGTAAGGTAATCATGTTGGTCAATTAAGCTACTGCATGCTTACCGATTCAGCCTCCAGACCCATCCTGGCAGCCCTTGTCTGTATCAGCTTGTTGGTGGGATCATTAATGTCACAATGGAAGTCAGGGACAAGGAGATTGGTGTTGCCTGAGAGAGGGGTGATGCCTTTGCATGGCATTGTAGTGCCATGCTCATACCTGACAAGTGAGTACATCATCTTGCACACTTTGGCCTAACAAAGCAATGTAAGTCTCTCACCACAGAATGGAATGCAGGTTGACTTACAATGAGGTAGTTGCAGGCATGTAGCTCTTCCTCACCCAGGTCTTCCCAGGGAACAAACCCCACATTTAAATGCAGACGCTTTGAACTGGAGCAATGAGGGGCACTCTCCAACACTTCGACATGTCTCTTGAGGTCTTGGAGCTTGCTGTCTCCCTGGTAGCTGGCATCTTTATCATTGGTGTGCTCTGTGGAGGGACTGGGAGATGAAGATGTTGGAGGTGAGTAAGGTAATTGTGTTGGTCAACAAGATTGCCCTAACCTATTAATGCCTTCAGGATTTGTCCACAGTGAGTCAAGGATATGGATCAAGATTGTGATTGCCTGGTTCCTCATGTTTTCAGGCAGGGTGTCAAATAACTCCTGAAAACTTGCACACAAGAAGTCAATGGCAGGGCTCATGGAGAAGAGAAATTTGGAGAGCTGCAGGGGTCAAACAAGTGCAGGAGGGATATCATATACCAGAGGAAAGAGTGATGACCAGTTCCCCCCCTCCCAATAGGGGCAGTTTCTAGGCAGGAAATGTTTTTTTGATGCAACTGTAGACAAGGCAGGCAAATTCTAGCTTTTTGTATATTACATAGACAAGAAGCCATGAAATAAGATGGCCTGCCATAAGCTGTGCTAGGCCATGTCCAGGGAGACTTCTCTTGACCTTCCCTGGGAATATTCCAGAGGTTCTTGACATAACATCATTTAGATAGTGCAAGATAGACTATATTACTCTTAGGTCAACCTGTAATGGTTGACCAAAAATACCTCTACTAGGGGGGGGAAAGGGTAACTTGCTCAGGAATGACACCATCTGTAACATGTGACCTTGCAGCACCTAAAACCCTGTCAGGCCAGGTAACCCTGAAATGCGGTGAGTTAAGGAGGGAAAACACATCAGTCACGTGCCATGGCGGCAATCGACGATTGAGGCGATCTCCCGTTCAGCACAATCCCTTCTTTGCACCACTTCATGCGATGTACCCATCAACAGTCCATCGACCTTTCGTACCTATTTGAAGCGTCGCCTGCTCGTCTGCACTCGTACTAGATCTGTTTGCGGTCGACTTGGTTCAACCTCGGCTTAGTTCAGCTTCGCTGATTCGCACTTCCCTATCTGTCATGATCTACGATCAGGATGTTCGATCCCTGCCATGTTCAAATACCAGCCTGAGCTGACAATTCCAACGGTTTTAATTCGACATCTAGAGGCGATCCGTTCCTTTCAGCAGTATATCAGAACCCGGATAGCCGTACGATTGATGCGCTCAATGGAGGATAAACGGCTCCACTGGTATTCCAGCGCCGAAGGATCCGGACTTGGGAGGCTGATGGTTGGCAGATTTACCGCTGTTGGATAGTCTGGTCTCGTTCTTTCGGAGTCGTACTCATCCCGATCATCATCCATATCATCTATACTGGTTCGTCTTTTTCACATTGCTCCTAGAAATAACGCTGGCGTTCGTTCAAGTCATGAGTTGCGTGCTCAACATCTCCCTCGCCAACCTTTCTGAGGGAGAAAGCATCTTCGACCCTGCAGTCAAACCATGGATCGTCTCCTCACTCGCAATCTCTGTAGGCCAGAACGTCATAGTGACCTCACTCATCGTGTACAAGATCCTGTCGGTGAACAGGCGAGCCACCGGGAAATCCCATGGCACCCTGGGCAAAACAGCTCAGATGCTCGTCGAGTCGGGCGCATTGTATGTGGTCACTGTGTTTGTGTACTTGATGACCTACGTGGCGAACAACAACGCACAGTTCTTCATGATAGACATTGTGCGTATTCGTCACGGTTCCTCACACCTCAGTACTTACCGGCCACTTGCTTAGCTTAACCCGGTCATCGTGGGTCCCAGCATGTCGCATTCGTCTACCATGTCGCTAACCGAGTGATATCACAGGGCATCACATTCTCCCTCCTTGTCGTTCGGGTAGCGATAAGACGATCGAACCCGCTTTTAAGCATAGAAGACGCCGATCCTCCATCTCAAGAACATCCAACCGTTCAGTCCATCGTCGTTTCCGTGCACCAGACACGTGTTTCCGAGGGCATGGATTCAGTTTCTGATCTTGAACTTGGGTCGAAATAGCGCGTGGGTCGTGCCGGCATGCTGATCTTATTTTAACGCAGTGGTGATATCAATTGATGTGTACAACAGTGGACGGTTCTAGGCACGTGCTGTGCGCGGAGGACTTCAGACTGGTCTGTTTCTGTACGCTAGTATATGAAAAGAGGGGGCCATTTCCCTTGGATGTGAAGCATATGGTGCAGCTTTGGACCATTGTAACTGTGTCTGGTTTTCTTAACATCGTAGTGAGGAGATTGTTTGGCGTACATTACAGTTAGCTTATATAAGCAATAACTATACAGTTTTATCGTGCGTGCGGTGTGCGTCCATCTTCTCCCTGCAATAAGCCGCTTTCTCCCTCATCTCGCTCGTTTTCAGCACCTCGATCGATTGGGGATAACAATGGACCAAAACGAAAGTCTTCTATGGTGCTGTGATTCCGAAATTTGAAATCCGCCATCGCCCAATTGCAATGTATCAGGACCAACTAGGCTATGCATGCATGCACTGCAACCCTCAGAATGAAGATGATATCGGCAATAGATGAAAAGAAGAAAAATCCATGACTTGCTGGCGGTCGCCAGCGCAAACCTGGAAAGCGCCCATCGGGACCACTCCGCATGCGTCTCGAGCGCTTGAGAAACCGTCGAACAGCATCGCGATGGCATGTACTTGAAGATCTCGGAAACAGGTTGACACCTCTGTTCCCGGCCTTTAAAGTGACTTCGGATGGCTTGCCCTATGCGTTAGGCGAACGCTTGGATCATCAACACAAGAAAGTGATCGACTTGTCCTGCAATAAAGGGGGCTTGGCACTTAAGGCCGACCATTTCTCCACGTTCTCCTGGCAAAATGAAGGAGAATTGTCATGTTAGAGATTGCGGAAGGTGTGCAATACTGTACATTTCGTTCAGTACCACATACAACTGGTTTCTGATTTCTGATGTCTCGACTGGTGGATTCTGACACCTCGGCTCGGCATCCTAGGAGCGTCATGGAGCCGGGTAACCTAGACGGCGTTTATCGAATGTGCCGTGTCTTTATTTCGCTGGATGGGATGCAAGATCTTATGCTGTTGGATCTTCGTTTGCGTTATCCACCACCTCTGGGATTGAGCGACTCCCAGCATGGGCATCCCCGTAGACAGAGCGACTCTAGCTGGCCTGTTCGCCAGTTCTGTACTCTACGGTATGTTTGTCCTGTCACTTCGTCCATCATGCTAACTAAGGGAAAGGCATGTTCTTGATGTTACTGGCTTCCTGTCTCTATGTATTGCTCTGTAGACGAAATACGCTCAACCCAAACTACTTGCTCATTCTCGCTGCATGCTTGATGCTTGTGGTGAATACGTTCATCCTGGCATTCTCCTTCTCAAGGGTTCTCGATGCATTTATCTATCTGAAAGGGAATACAACAAGCCCGGACGAGTACCTGACCATGCTATCACAGTGGAAGGAGGTCGCTAGGACCTCAGCATGCTCGTTTTACATATTCGTGGCCGACCTCACCCTGGTAGGTTGGGCTTATACGGACCAGGAATCGACTGATTGACTCGTTTCAGATCTATCGATGCTGGATAGTCTGGTCTCGATCGTTTGCGATCGTGTTCTTCCCAATTATGATCCACATTGCCTACATGGGTGAGTGATATCCCGAGATCAGGAGAAATATATGCTGATGGTGAATATTTGAGTGACAAGCATTTTTCTCAATGTCAATCTGGCACACTTACCTCAAGGCGCTACTATATTCGATCCAGCCGTCAAATCATGGATCGCAGCAGCTCTTGCAATATCCTCAGGACAAAACGTGATCGTAACCTCGCTCATTGCCTTCAAGATCCTCTCGGTGAACATTCGAGCAACAGGAAAACGACTGGGAACGCTTAGCAAGACAGTTCAAATTATTGTGGAGTCGGGACTGACCTACGTGATCACGGTGTTGGTATATCTCATCACGTATACGGCGAACAGCAACGCGCAGTATGTCATGATAGACATCGTATGTGCATGCCTTTGTCACGTCACCGCTGTGAGCTAACGTCTCGTTTCCTCAGCTCAACCCAATCATTGTACGTGTTCCAGCAGCGCTGCGCATAGTTTCTGAACGATATAAAGGGAATCACATTCAGTCTTCTTGTTGTACGAGTTGCTATGAGACGAGGGCCAGAGTCGTCCAGCACGGATGAGATTGCCCCATCTTCTCGACCTGAAGTGCTTCGACTTCCCCAATCGGTTGTGGTTACTGTGCAGCAATCCGAAGTCGTCGAAGGCCTCGACTCAACATCCGACTTGGATGTTACCAAGTATGGCACCACATCAGGCCTTCCGTTACGGGATGTTGAGTTAGAGCATGATGTTGCGGTTTGACCGTCATTAATGAAGTTTGTGTATGAGCATCTCAAATGTGTTCACTTCTGAACACGGAAATAGCGAGACGCTGATAGAGACTGCAGGACATCAGAGTGTGTATCTATCCGGCTGTACAATGCAAGGAAGAGCATATCTAAGCAAAGGCTTCGATGCATTATCATATGCTGAGTTTTCTGATGTGTTGGCAGTTTCGTTTGGCGAGACGTCCGGCGAACGCGGACCTGGTGAGCTGGCGAGCAAAGTAAGAGATGCTCAGTTTTACTGACCTGGTCCACTATACTGTATGTGGTAGTGTTTCATTTGAACACTGAATAGTCCTATATAAATTTCAAAGCTTGAAAATTGGAAGATTGCTAGTCAGCAATACAGTCACCCAGTCCCGTACTTGAGGGAATTCCTCCGGTGCCCCCTCCTCGGAGATATTGCTCCCACAATGCCCCTCCGGAGGCAAATGCTCAGAATGCCCTCTCCTTCACGTGCTCACATCGCGGCGCAGCATTTTCACCTGGCAGGCCAGGAATCATCTAATACTACAGGGGTCCTGTTTTTGGCACATTTAATTAAAAAATAAGCTACAATGTATTAATATTATGAAAAAATTAAAACAGAACCTAATTCAATAATCTCCGCCGGTTTTTTTCAACTTCTCTAACCCTGCTTGCTGTCTTCGAGATATGTTTGGCCCCTCTGGGAAGGCAGGACCCCGAGCTTACCCGTTTTGCTCTTTTGACACGCAAGGAAAGCTGCACACTCCGTGAGCACGTGAAGGAGCGGGCATTCTGAGCATTTGCCTCCGGAGGGGCATTGTGGGCGCAATATCTCCGAGGAGGGGGCACCGGAGGAATTCCCTCGGAGGAATTCCCTCCCCGTACTTTTCAAGCCCTGCTTCTTGTTCCACGCGGTCGTTCGACCCTGCTCGCACCCTCTCCACACTTCGTCCACCTGGATCTGGATAGAAACGCGCGTCCCATAGCGCTCGGAGCGAGAATGGAAACAATCATTCCCCTATGTTTGCCCCTCCCATGTCGGATCAAGGAAGTTTACTGTCGCAAAGCTATCCATGCCGTACTCTATCCGGGTGCACACCTCTCGGGTCTGATGTACAAGCGCCTTCTCGCCGTATTCTCCGGTATCTGGTTTGATAGCTGATCTCCCTGGCAGCCATGCACAGGGTCAGGCTATGGTCCCACTAGCTGCTCGGGTATGAGTTATGCGCTCATCTTACGTCCACGTGAGTTCTATAAGGCGATACTGCCTGAACACCTGGCAACTTGTTCTCGACCAATCCTATGATGTCTCAGATTCCCGTTAGTGCTTATTTTCAGTGATCATTGCTTTGTTGAAGTTTTCTGGGGTGCACAGATGGCTTGCTCTCTTCGTCTGCCGGCATGTGCATGAGGGCAGCTTGTTGATTCCCAGCTAATGGTGAGAAGCTTAAGCAACGAAGGTTCGACACTGGAGCTGATTCCAATATGTTCTTGCCAACATTGTCCACCACCTTCATCATGCGTTGCCGACGGCGCACAGCTTGGGCAATAAAATCCCTCTCACGGTCGCGTGCGATGCTCTGCTATCCATCCCCGTCCACTGTATTGCTTACTGTCTCCCCATAATACCCCGTGCTGTTCCGTTTGATGGCCGATTCCCTACCCCTGGACACGGCGACATTGGCCGGGTTGTTCTCGAGCTCAATACTCTATGGTGCGATTGTCTCGATCATCCTTGCACGGTGCCTAACCCCTGCCAGGAATTTTCGTCGTTCTACTCATCGCGGCACTCTATATCCTGCTCTACAAACGGAAGACAAGGGAGCCAAATTATATCTTGATCGTCGCAGCATTGGCCATGTTTCTCGTCAACACAACCGTGCTGGGTATCTCCTTCTCCCGCACAGACGACGCCTTCATCACACTCCGGGATGCGCCCGGCGGTCCTTTGGCTGATCTGCAAGATCTAGCGCAGTGGAAGGAGGTGACGAGGACTGCTCTGACATGCACATACTTTATGCTCGCCGATGCTGTCTTGGTATGTTGTACCTTTTGTGTAAAGCAAAGACTGATGACGCACAGATCTATCGCTGCTACATCGTATGGGGAAACAATCTCTGGGTCATTATCCTCCCAATGATTCTATTCATCGCAAGCGCTAGTACGTGTCTTCCTCAAGTATGAGAACCAGCGACTAAGGAACGATGGTGACAGCTGTTGACATATTTATGGTCGTAACGATGGCGAACCTTCACTCGGGCGATTCGATCTTCGTGACAGCACTCCACGACTGGATCGAAGCAGTGATCAGCCTCACCCTGGCACAAAACGTCATCGTCACATCGCTCATCGTCTTCCGCATCTGATCGATCAACATGAAGACAGCGCCGTCCGCAGCTGGGAGTTTGAGACCGGTGATGTCGATCATCCTTGAGAGCGGTGTTATGTATGCTGCGAGCCTGTTCATCTTCCTGATGACCTACGTGTCGGGCTCGAACTCTCAGTATATACTGGTGGACTGCGTAAGTGCTTGGTCTTCCGCGAATTAGCCGCCACTAATAGCACACTCGTTTGATGCAGATCAACCCTATGATTGTGAGCTCCACGCCCATCGTATACTATCTTGATCTAATCCACATCGCAGGGCATTACCTTCACCCTCCTGATCGTCCGGATCGGCCTCGGGATAAATCATGAGCCTTCCTCGCACTTCCGCTCGCACAGATCACAAAACACGCAAATCCAGCCCATCTCTATCGCGGTCTCCCGACACTATCATACCGACGCGCCCGGGGGCGTGCTCGGTGCGGAAGGGACGGAGGACTCGGAGTGGGAGATGGAGAATGTTGATGGGAAGCTTGGAGCTGAAGAGATTGGGAAGAGCCCAAGCGCCAGGGTGAGTAGGACGAGTTTCAGACTTGACGTTGTTGGCAGCGCGGTATAGCTGTTTCTAGGTTGGTACTGTATTTCGAGCGGATTGGAAAGCAACGATATGGCATGTATTACGTGTACAAGGATCGGATAATGTTCTATACCCTTTCAGATGGACGTCTTTCGTCGGAGTTACGCCTGCATGACTAACAACTCCGCCTTGGTCATGCTTTCGGCGGCTCCGGTACAACATCGAAATCGGAACACGTCAGTCCGACGTCATCCCGTTCGGCACGGCCCCTCGGCACAACGGACCGAGAACTTTCCTCATGCGCTCCGACTTGCCCAACTCGGTCAGCACGGCTCTAAACGGCATCTCGGCCATCACGGTCAGTTTGGGTCAGGTCGGCATCAGACGTTGACCAGAAGGGGTACCAAGAGCGGGAAGATCCGGCGGAGGTCGGAGGCCGATTTACGCTCTTCCCGACCGACCGGCCGTGATATCCACGTTCCACGGTCAGATCATGGACGAGGGCGCGTACGGCGCGTTCGGGGAATAAGCACGCGTGGAAATACGGGTGCACGACCAGAGTTCAGGCACATTTAGGAATCAGGGATCCCCCTTTCGCTAGCCTGGGCCGGAACGGGGAACAGCTACATACATGGATATCTTTGTTCTCGTCGTACCCTGAGGGGTCCTGTATCTCGGCATACTTCTGTGCGGCGAAAATATGTGGCTCTGTGAGCGCGTGTAGGACGGTCTTTGAGCTGGTGGTTGCACGGGGATCCCGGAAGAGACCGGAACCGGTGGCTGTTAACTTCATTGTTATTGTCAATATCTCTACTATTCCTTGAATATATTATACAAACGCTTGGTAAACAAGCGGAGCTGATAAGGGCGTCAGCGTTGTCTCGAGTTGGAAAAACTTCCCCACATGCACTTGTTTAAAGCCGTATCAACCAGGGATGGGGCGCCACAGAGCCCCCCGGAACATCACAGCATGCGTTTGACATTTCTCCTGATCCTCGGCATGCGCGCAATCTGAGGAACACAACTTGCTTGTGGGGTCGTTACGTATCCTCTCAAAAACTCACTGATGCCAAAAATATGACGAGTTCTGTCCTTATTTATAGAACTGCTTCGCTCTGAATAAACGTCAGCCAAGAACAAGAGGTGCAATGTAGATGACGTAATCATCTGTATATCCTTTTCAGGCATGCCCGAATAAAGTCTATATGCTCCCTTTTATCTTTCTGTACGGGATCATCTCTGCCGAAGGGATCGTGTTGCTGATAGTTTCCGCACGAACGGGGGCTGGGACTGCGACTTGGAAGGTGGGCGGGCGAGACCGGAGGGTTTGGGCGAGTAAGCAACGGAGAACGGAGGGAGGAATCCGCCGTAGCTTGTGTGATAATAATGGGCAGCATGTGGGCCCGGTACCTCAAGCGCGAAACTCCCGACTCAAGACTCGGTTTCCCCAAATACAGACATTCTCCGGGAGCAGATGGCCATGTTGGTTTTGGTTGACGCCGTGGCGCCCTTGCACACGGGAGGCGGGCGCCTGTCACCTCTCTTAGGTCTAGTTGGCTTGGCTTGGAGGCACGGGGCGCAACCCCAGTGGACAGCCGCTCCCGCCCGCATAGCGCACGACGGCCGTGGGAGGGATAGAGAGGAGGAAATACATATACTGCTGTCGTGTGAGCCCTGAGCAGACTATTGTTCGCTCTGACGGCGAAAGGTATTTGAAGAGGTGTTGTCGCCATCAGAGCGATAACAGCCACTAAGTTATCTTTATCCTATCCTATCCATCTATCCAACCTATTCTATCCCTATCCCTATCCTATTCGACGGTTACCTTTTCCCATCCTCGCGCTCTGCAAGAAGCGTAATCGCGCTCGACCCTCTCACTTCCCGCTCACGGCAACTCCTCACCCTCGAAGATCCTCAACATGCTCGCCGCACGCGCTATGGTACCCGTCTCGTTCGAGCTGCACTCGACGCCCTCCACGTCCGAAGCGTCAAGCGTGACGTCCAGCGCGCAGATCTCGCCTTCCCCCAGTATGGACCGGATCCACCTGATCACCCCTAGCGGGCGGGCGCTCAAGACTGCGAGGGGCGTGTTGCCGCATCCTGGGGAGCTGACACCAGAGGAGAGCGAGGACGAGCAGGGAGAGGAGGGAGATGGGGGCAGGAAGAGGAGCCCGTTGGTGCCTGTGAGAGGGAGATTCGTGCTTGGTGCGGATGAGGAGGATGCGGTGACGAGTAAGGATATGATCGACACGGAGCCTGTGTCTGCTGTACCCTTGGTACGTCTACCTTTCACACTTCACATTACACTATCTATCGATCTCCTCCAACCCAGTGCCTTCTTTGACACTTGTTATTTCTTGCACTCCTTATTTGTGATTGGAATCGGTGAGGGGTTCTATCAGCGCGGTGTTTGCGGTGGAGTATATGCGCATACATCCAGCTCTCCTTTCCAGCTCAGTAGTCCGCAAGCTGTCCTGTCGTCATCTCTCCTGTCGCTGTGGCCTCGGACGAGTCCGGCCAGAGCGATGTGAGAGATATATGAGGCTGTGCAAGCCCGTTACCGGCCGGTTGGGTGGCTGAGTCTTTGTGCTCGGCACAGAGACACAGACCGTCGGGGTTAATTTGGTTCTCTTACTCCTTATTGATGTGAGAGAGATGACGTGATGCGGAGTACGGCTGCCGGCCGAAAATGAATACTTTTATGTGCTGACGTTAACTGCTCCTTTTACCCTTTTGCTTGTCTCATCGAACTACTGCTGGCACGCGAGAGTGGTAGCGCCCTGAACTTATCTTCTTCCTTCTTCTCCCTCTCCTCCTCCTTCATCCACTACCATTGGGTCCATTATTTATCCCTTCTCCTTTCATCCATTTTAACTCTTCCCACTTTAAATCAACTTCAAATGTACTGACAGATGATACGATTCACAGTCAATTCAGCAGTTCATCGCAGGAACCACAGACGCATCAAACGTTACTCTCACTCAAGATTCGTACGCGAAGACTCTCAACAGCGACCATCATCCACCTCAGTCAAGTCCATTGTCTAGCCAGCTCTTGACAATCCCACCATCACTCACCCCGACCTCTCCTTCTCCACCTGCGGTGGCTGCAAGCCAGCTCGCAGGCCAACAGGGAGCGCATTCGGACCCCGCTATCCAGTTGCATCCAGCGCCAGCGCCAACCGTGGCAGTAGCAGCCTCTCCCGTACCCGCCCCGGCGGCCGCTGCTCAGCCAGCACAACCGCTTCCCAGGCAGAACTCGTTCTTTAATCGCAACAAGCGCTCGCTATCGGCATTCAACCTCCATCTCCCGATGCAGCACCGGGATTCCCCGCCTGCGACTGCCAACGTGCAGCCTGTCAACCCTGTAACCCCTGCTACGCCTTCCACCGCCGTCGCGAGCCCGAGCATGTCCCCTCCTGGTGATAACTCTCCCTCCTCAGCGGGCCCTGCGTCAGCGACGGAGCGCAAGCAAACGGGGGTGAAGAAAGTCCACGTTGGGCCGCTGCACGACCTCAAGCGATTTCTGAACCACCACATTGCACACCATTCACATCCTCCATCTACGCCTACGCCTGGATCGGCAGCTGCTGCACCCGCAAGCGCACACACACCGGGAAATATGACTCCTGCAGAGGAGATCCCGCATGCGGAACCGACGTCCCACCAAGTCAGGGGAACGAACTTCCACAACCCTACGGTTCCGGTCCCAGGTAGTGCCTCTGCTGCCCCGACGCCGGGGAACATCACCCCCTCCGGCACGCATTCGCCCCAGCATCATACGGAGAAGCACACAAGCCACCACTTTGAGAGGTTTATCAAGCATGCGCGGGCGAAGGAGCAGAAGGAGAAAGTCGGTTCTTCTGCCTCTGGGTCGACGGGGCCCGTCGCTGGTGCGGGAGGAGCAGCAGAGGGCGCTACGAGCGTGCCTGTGACTCCCTCCGACTCGGAGCAGTCGACGAAGCACCAGCGGCAGAAATCCGGTTCGGGGTCTGATACCCCCGCCGGCCCACCAGCACATCCCCCTCAGTCGCTCGCGACCGTCACCCACGCACATATGAGCAAGAAGTACGGCAAGTGGGGAAAAGTGCTCGGTTCGGGCGCTGGGGGAACTGTGAGGCTTATCAAGGCTAACGCTAAGGCTGGGGGGAGGACGTACGCTGTCAAGGAGTTTCGCCCTAGGCGGCCGGGGGAGAGCGAGAAGGAGTATCAGAAGAAGGTCACCGCGGAGTTTTGTGTGGGTTCGGCACTGAAGCATGTTAATGTCATCGAAACGGTGGATATCGTGACCGATCACGGGCATTATTATGAGGTGCGTTCTTGCGCTCTGGGAGTGACAACGTGCTCATCGCGGGCCAGGTCATGGAGTATGCTCCGTTTGACTTGTTCAGCGTCGTCATGTCCGGCAAGATGACCCGTCCGGAGATCTACTGCGTCTTCCGGCAGATTTGTGACGGCGTAGACTACCTACATGGCATGGGGCTCGCTCACCGAGATCTCAAGCTCGACAACTGCGTCATGACCACCACAAACGTCGTAAAGCTGATCGACTTTGGCACCGCGACTGTCTTCCACTACCCTGGCAAGGCGCTTATTCCTGCCTCGGGGATCGTTGGTTCAGATCCGTACCTCGCGCCCGAGGTGCTCACTGCCCCCGTCTACGATCCTCGCAAGACGGACGTCTGGTCCATAGGAATCATCTTCATGTGTATGATCCTGCGCCGCTTTCCGTGGAAGATCCCAGATCCGAAGACCGATCCTAGCTATCGGATGTTCGTCCAGTCCCATCCAGAGCTGTGCGAGAAACCCCCCGTTCGCCCAAAATCCGAGCATCATCATCATCAGCGCCAGCTGACAGGCGGTACAGACGCGTCCACCGTCTCCCGCAAATCGAGCATGGCGGACATGACCCCTATCAGCGGTCACAACCTCAGCTCGTCGTACTTCGAAACTCCTAGTCTGAGCGCTACAAGCTCTTTCTCTGAAGCGAGTGCCAGCGAGGGCAGTACGAGCTCGTGTTCCGATTCGTTCAACACAATTTCCGATTTGAACAGGCTCAGGATAGATACTGCCCCAGTGGAAGACGCGAGTGTGGCTATCCTACCTCGTCCTTCAGGGAACACGACTTCGGCGCCAAGTTCACCGCATCCTGGCCCTGTTTTCAACCTTACGCCTGTTGCGGCATCTAGCGTCCCTGGCTCGCCAGGCGAGCTCAATTTGCCGAATACTGCTGTTAGCTCACCAAAGCGCGATAGGAGTATGACTGCTCCTATCCCTGCATTACCCAGCCCGCCGATAGTCAACGTCAGCCAGAACGCTGCTGCTGCACCCAAGCCTGCACCACAGACTGTCAGCGTCGTCGTACACACGCAGTCGCCGGTGCAGGGGCACGAGAGGAACGTGACGGACGCCTCGGAGGGGTCGATCGGGTCAGACCTGACTGTCAAGCCCGGAGAGGCGAATGGGGACGCGCAGGCAGAGGCAAAGACGCCTCTTGCTACTGCTGCCCTTGTGCCACCTGCTGTCACCCCGAAACCTCAGCCGCAGCCGCAGGTGAAACCTAAAGCGTCTGCTCTGCCGTCGTCCATCCGCCGCCCAAGGCACGATAGTGTCACTTCTGTCCAGACTGCTATTGGCGGTGGGGCAGATTCCATCTTCCGTCTCCTGCCTCGCGAGACACGCAGCGCAATCATCCGGATGATGCATGTCGAGCCCGAGGCCCGCTGTACTATCTCCGATTTATATCGCGGCCGGGGGCGTGGGGGACTGCAATGCGCTTGTGGCGGGTCAGAGTGCGGCGGGCATATGAACCGCGAGCACATGCGCAAGCCGATCAAGGATGACGGATCCCTCGCCGGGGCGGAGAACGAGCACCTAGAGGGAGAGGAGGACTGGGAAGAGCCTGAAGATGGTGATGATGGTGATGACTGGCTTAGAAGCATCATACCTTGCTCGACACCCGGGCATAAGCCGGATCATATGCACGTGCTCCTGCAGGTCGATAATGGCCCGGCGAAGAGACGCTTTTTCTGAACGCACTGGGCTGTCGTGTCACTCATTCGACTTGTATGGCTGTCGTCGTTCCTCCAGAGAAGGTCACGACTACTTCGATTTTCCCAACCTACCACAATCTACCACTAAACGAACCCGTCTCCTGCGGCTATGGCCGCCCTCTTCCCAAGCAATCTCTTGTATTTGTACCACGTTCAAACCGCGTGGATGGAGCTGACGGAAAATTTCCATCCTCTTCCATTACGGAACTCCTGCTACCTCCCATGCCCCAATCGATAACGAACGCCCGCCTTGTACTAACTTACGCCTGCCTATTATCACGCAACGCTATGTATTGCTTTTCTGGCCGGCGCTCTCCCGTTCCCCTGGGATGGGGCAGGGAAATGAACCAAAAGGCTCTCAAGCAATACCCGCCACTACGTGTCATATAGCTCGCTTGTACTTGTGTCTTTCACTGAGATCACCTTCCTTCCTCCTCATCTCTATTCTTCCCTTTCTTCCATCATCATTCTTTTCTAGTTTAGTATTTGAAATTTCATATGATCCAACCCGCTTCTCCATGGCGAGCATTGTCGTATAGCAAACCATGTGGCAAATATTGACACCAATAGACGTTCTCTTAACGTTCTTCTATGTGCACGTCCCGTATGAGACCAGAATTCTCTTGAGAAGAGCGTGCCTCAGAATGATTATTATTTTCTGGCTTCTTTTCCGACACTTCTCCTCGAAGTACACGTGTGAATGGACCCATGGGTCCGAGAACGGCTATCCAACATTCTTAGAAGCCGGTGGCTCCCAACGAAGTCCTAAGTACATACAGCCCACCTCAGCCTTCCTATAACTCCTCATGCAGCACATGCGGTTGAAACGCATCCTCGTGATCATACCCGTCATCGTCAAACCGCTGGTCGTCATCTACCCTCTGCCCTCGTGTAGAAGCAAGCGAATTCATCGCCTTTCTGAATCGGTCGCTCATGGACTTCGACGCCTTCGACTCTGCAGTCCCGGCAGCAGGTTGATGTCCTTTGTCCTCTCCTTCATCCCCAAGATCAATCGGCTCTTCGCCAAGGTCAATGATCAACATCGCAGCGCCATCGTCGCCCTCCTGGAACTGGATGTTGAGCTCCTGCAAGTCTTCTGGATTGCCCATCAGCAGCTGTTGCAAGCTGCTGATCAGCTCCATCGTCCTCTTGCCTCGCTGTCTCTTCGCTTCCTCCTGCCCATATCCATCCGCAGGTGCCTGGCCGTGTGTCGCTGAGTCTTCACCTTGTCCTTCCGGCAGCTGTGCACGCTTATCTTTTGGCATCGCGAACGCCTTATCGGCCCAAGTCAGATCGAGCGTCGCACCCGGTGTGCCAGGCACGTAATCCTCTGTTCGAGAAGCACCCAGGTTGACGGATGGGGTAGTTTCAACGACTTCTCTGCAGTGTACGACATTCACTGGCTCAGCGTCGCGCTCTGAACGGAAACCAGGTTCGCTGCATAGCCTTGGAGTTTGAAGGACGAGAACATATTGACATGTCCGGGTTTCTTTGACAAGCAGAATGCCATCGGTGGTCGTCATCGAGCAGTGGAACTAGAAAGTGAGTCAGACATAGCGCACACGCCAGCACTGCATGAATTACCTGAATCTCGACTTCTCGCCCTCGGCCGGATTTGTCGCAGACTGTTCCATCGCTCCATGTTTGCACCAGATAGCGCTTCCCAGTCCCACGGAGCTCCAGATTATTTTGGATTTGAAGGGCGAGTTCCCAATTTTCTACATTGTGCATGGGCGAGACCCCGAGCGTATATGCTTCATACTTTGTACATGGGTTCAGCAGAAGTGCGCATCCTGTTTCAGATAAACTCACATTTGGATCTTCCTCCGGTATTCTCCCCCCGGGTGGGTGTGGGTGTGAGTGCGCCATTTCTCTGAATTGACGAACTTGATCATTGTGGCAATACGAATACGTGAACCAGCCCTGTCGCAGGTAGAAGCATTTCCCATTCAAGGGTTCGAGAAGTGGCCAAGATGCGATAGGATTGGAATGATGTGTAGGAAAGGTCTCTGGTGGTGTAGGTGTACTTGGGGCTGAGCTTGGTAGTAGACAGAGGTAGGATTGATTAGGCTCGAGGGCCATGCGTTCCAGTCGTGATCGCAGTGGTGAATTAGTCTGAATATGGGATAAGCTCGAGAAAGTGCAATCCAGTCATCGACATACGTCCTCCGCAGATCCCTCTATCTGCCCCTGCTTCCCCCATCCGTCACTGTTCTCCCCCATAAATTCACTTTCTCCACCCTCCAGGCCGTCCTTCAACCATCGCTCCGCCGTTGCATTGCTGACCGGAAACCCATTCAAAAACGACACGCGGTACCTCGGATAGGAATAGATATCCTCGATGTTGGTCGCGCGTAGTCCGCGTTGTGTGTATGCAGGGGTAGTAGATAGAAATAGGATAAGAATTGGGAAGAGGGTACCCAGCGCCATAGTTGGGCGGTATAAAGTGGACGACCACGTCGATGCGTGCCCATGATTCCCAAGGGTCCACCGAGGGATCGCCGCGTTGCGCAGGGATCTACATGGTCCGACCGCATGCGGTTATGATCTCAGGCAGGCCATTATTGGATCGAAAATGTGTGATAATGAAAGCAGTCCAAATAAGCCTCAAATAGGCCCCAGTCCTAGTAAATTCAAAGTTTCTGTGGTGTGGTAGGCTGGAGACAGTGCGCGAGTTTGCCCAAACGCTAGGGTTTCCAGGCCCTTTCCCTGTGCTAATTGATTTCCCTGCATTCTACAGACGTGGCTGTGTTGCAAACACCACTCTGAGTTTAGTGGGACATCCGTGCACACAGCTCTCAATACTGGTCAAAATCAAAATCATCTTATTCAAGCATTGTTCCAACATTCTATCTTCATGATTCTTTCTAAACACACAAGAGATTTTGATGTTGTGGGAGGTGTCCAAAACATTGGTATTACCTGACCGTGCTGCAGCGAAATATCCCTACCCGTCCACCGGTATGGTGAGCTGTGGTTAGCAGATACGCGGCAAAGGTAGGGCAACGGTTGGACGAATGATCTGCATTGGAAGGCAGGATCCTGACAGCGGAAGACTAGGTGTGGAGAGGGGAGAGACGCCGAGGAACCAGCCTGGGAACTGGTGTGGTTGTCCATCGGATGGGCACGTTGGGATTAGGTAGGGCTCTGGAAGGGCGGCTCAAGCGAGCGATGGGTTGTTCAGGAGGTGTAAGACGGTGCGCTAGCTCTATGCTGCCCTTGGCCCTTGGTGGCGGACTGCGCACTACCGAGATCAAGGTTTCATAGTGTGCGACGTAGTCCTGCAGCTGGCTAGGTAGCCAGTTGGAGAAGTATCCTTCGATGCACGGCGGTAGATATACGTGGTTGATGATACCTAGGGCGAGAGAGGGCCGTACCGGGAGCCAACCGTTGGAGAGCAGGAAGAAGGTTCCATGATGTTATATTCTCGTCTGGGAAGATGGATGCTCTCGCCTGCGTATCTTGTACCCTGCCACTCCCATCTCCTCTACCCCTCACACCGTCCTCCTATCAGTCATAACCCTAACGATACACCCAACACCAGCGACCTCCGTAAGCCTCTCATGCCACCCGAGCAAGACGCTCCCATTCACCTCCTCCCCGAGGCTGGCCATGCCCTTGTACAGGTACTTCATGAGCGTGTCTTGTTGTTCCTCCGAGAGGGCGCGGACGAGTGTGGGGATGTCGGAAGTTTTGGTGCTATTGAGTATGAGGAGGAGGGTGCTGAGCGTTTGTGCCTGCGTTGGGGAGAAAGGGTTATGGATGACTTGGGGAAAGGAGCTGGAGAAAACCACACCTTTGCTTCGTTTACTCCCTCACCATACGCCGGCCGATCCAGCACAGTCACCAACGCACCCGCCACATTACCCCTTATCACATCAATTTGTATCCTCCCCGTCCAAAGTGCGACTCACCTGCTCAAGCTGCCTCGCACTGAAGAACTCTTCTGCTGCGCGTCTGCCTGTACTTGTGCGGGTGAACGAGGATCGGGGTCGTACAGCCCCGAGGGGAGTAGGACGTCTTCATCATACTGATCGATGTTTATTCTGCGGAAATGTGTATTCATCTGAGCAATGTTGGATATGGATTGATGAATCTATAGTGCCAGTTCGGGCACAGGCCCACTTAGGGGTCTGTCCGGGTTATTGCTGCTTACATAATCATGGGCGCAGCAGCGGGTGGGCCAAATCTCACCGGTGTTGTTCCTTATAAATCGGCCGCACCTCCGAGATCCCAAAGTACTTAACTCCCGTTCCGATTGAACATTGCGTGATACATTTCTGCCAAGATCCCCATTGTTCATCTTTGTTGGCGTTCGCGAACCCTGATATGAATGTCAGCAAGCTTTGCAAGTTTGTGTGGGTAGACCCATGGGTCCCGGAATTATGCCACCTGTCCGCCGTCAGGAGCCCAGTGTAAAAGCAGAAGATATTCGAGTTGTGGACCCATCACCTCCTGTGAGACTTTACTAGACTCATAGCGTGGGAACTGCTTGGAAATTTACACTCTTGCAAGTATATCATTTGACCTTGTGGTTTCATACATTACAGTGACCCCATGACCGCCTCGAGCACGTCAACGGCGCGCTTAACATCCACAAACGTATTGTACAACGGCACCGGACTCAATCGAATGACGTCTGGCTGGCGTTCGTCGCAGATCACACCTGCGTTGGTCAGCCCATCGAATACCTTCTGCATCGTTCCCAATGAGGAGAAAAGCAGGGAGAGCTGAGCACCTCTACGAAATGGATCGGAAGGTGTGATGATGGTGAAGCTTGGGCCTTCGGGAGCACAATAGAAATTTGACTGGCGGAGGAGCCCGTCGAGATATCCTGTAAGGAGCACACTCTTCTTTCGGGTTGCCTGTACTCCACCGGCCGACTGGAAGATCTCGAGACTACCCAATAAGGATGCGAGGGTCAAACATGAAGGGTTAGATTGTTGGTATCCCCATGCGCCGGGTATCGGTGTGAAGTCTTCTGGCATTTGGAAGCGAGTCGAAAGTTGTTGTCCCCACCATCCAGCATAGCTTGATACTACGTCAGTGAGAGCGAAAAGAGTCATGCATAATAATTACTCTGGCTTCTTGATGTTGTCCCACTTGCTATGGACAAACAGTCCGCCGATGCCGCCAGCTCCGGAGTTCAGGTACTTGTAGGTGCACCAGACTGCCCAATCAACGCCCCAATCATGCAGCGATAACGGAACATTTCCAATCGCATGGGCTAGATCCCATCCGACGATGCATCCCTAATTCTGTGTCAGCGCCGCCGAAACAAAAAGAGCGTGCATTGTGTACAGCATGCTTGCCTGCGTGGGTGATCCTCTGCATATCGAACAGCTGTCCCGTGTAATATTGAACACCGCTAAAACAGATGACGGCGATGCTTGACCCCTCTTTAGCAATGATGTCGAGAATATCCTCTTCTCGTAGGATATGCTCGCCTTCTCGCGGGGACATCGCGACGACAGCCTCCTTTGGATCGAATCCGTGCGCACTCGCTTGAGAATGAAATGCATACTGCTCAACATGTCAGTGAACTCGCCGAAACATGACTGTAGTCATATGCGCACCCTATCAGATGGGAATGCTCGCGCTTCGCATAAGATCTTGAAGCGCTCCTTCGTGGGCTTGTAAAATGCGTTCATCATGAGATGGAGATTCGCGGTAAGTGTGGACATGGATATGACTTCGTTCGAATGTGCGCCTGGACTAAGCGTAAGACACAGACTGGCAGATGGAAGCTCATCAGCATACCGACTATGGGTGCTAACAATGGTGACAACTTCTCCCCGAACTCTACCCATTCACGCCCATACGGATGGCTGAAGTGACCCACAACTCCTCTGAAAGGAGTTCCGGTCAACACAGTAATCACATGATGAATATGGCCGGACATACCGTGTTGCCCAGACTCTCAACTCTCCTTGTACAAGGGATTCCGACAGCTTTGACAGCAAGCCCAGGGAGTTGCCACACATGTACGTGCATGGCTGATCGGCTGGGAGGTCATTGGACGCGCCAACCGCACCGTTCTGAGGGATGTAAAATTCGTCTCTGAAGGAATTGAGCGAGTCGCGTTCATCCAGAAGTTCAGGTGATTGTGCTTGAAGGTCTGTCGAGTCTGCCATACGGATTAACAGAGAGTGTAGATCGCTATACGCCACTGCTAGGTCGTGTCAGGGAATCCCTGGGCTTATCGTTCGAGTCAGCGGCGGCGCTTCTGTTTGACAGCTCAAAGTAAGTAATAAAGTCTAAATCATTGAAATAGCAAGGCGTCCGCCCGAGACATAATCACGTAAAAGCTAGTCGTGCTTCCAGAAACCCTCCGGCTTCTACATTGTATTGTTGTTGATATATGAACTGCTCGTGAAGGGCGGGATGTGCCGGTGGAACCGGGGAGTGCGCTCCGCTGCTCATATATGCACATGTAGGGGTCACTCAGCAGACCGTCCTGACCGCCATGTCGGCCTCCAGCAACGCTCGCAAGGTTCTCATCGTCGGCGCCGGCCCCGTGGGCTGCTTGACGGCGCTCAGCTTCGCGAAGATGGGTTGGAAAGTTGATCTACGCGAATCACGGCCTGGTACGCAGGTGTATTTGCGTGTCACACGAGCTTGCTGGACTGATGTCCCACTGTTACGGGTAGATATCCGTTATGTCGATCCGTCTACGATCGCCCATCGCTCTGTCAATCTCGCCATATCAAGCAGGGCCATCACGGCCTTGGGAACCATTGATTCGGGAATCACAGCTCGGCTGCTGGAAGACTCTATTCCAATGAAGGGAAGGATGATTCATACAAAGGATGGGAAGGAAGAGAGTCAGCTATATGACCAGCACGGTCAGGTGCGTCTAGATGAATTGCTTCTTCATCAATCTTCTCCTGACATCGTGGGATATGTAGCACCTCAACTCTATGGGCCGCGGACTTCTCAACAAGGTTCTTCTGGATGAACTCGAGCATTACACCGGCGTGAGCGTACGCTTCGAGGACAAGCTAATCGCCATCGACTTCGAGCGCAAGACCGCGATTTTCATTCCGCCTTCTGCCGATACACTCGAGGTTGCCTTCGATTTCTGCATCGGCGCAGATGGAGCGCATTCTTTGGTGAGACGGCAGATGATGCGGGTAGTCCGGTACGTGCTGCCGCAAGCACGGTCCGGCTACACCTGACATGAGTATAGCATGAACTTTCAACAAGAATACATTCCACACGACTATGTCGAGCTACACATGTCCCCAGGCGTAGGCGAGAACGGCCAGCCGGTTTTCCGGATTGATCCCAATCATTTGCATATATGGCCGCGAAGCGCATTCATGTTGATCGCATTGCCAAATAAGGTGTGATCACCGATCTTGCCGGATCCGTGCGCTCTGTTGATCTCCGGCAGGATAAGTCGTTCACATGCACATTGTATGCGCCCACCGCAGAACTCGACAAGCTGGAAACGCGTGAGCAGGCCTCCGATTGGTTCGACCTTCACTTTCCGGATGCTGTCCAGCTCATTGGGCGTGAATCGCTCCTGGACGACTTCGAGGAGAACCCTAGAAGCTCTCTCATTTCCGTCAAGACATATCCATACCACTTTAAGGACTGTGCTGTGGTCATCGGAGATGCAGCACACGCTATGGTGCCTTTTTACGGCCAGGGCCTCAACTGCGGGTTCGAAGATGTCCGCGTCCTGACCACGTTGTTCAAGTCCTTTGGCGTTGCACCGGTGCCGCCGAAAGCAGACGAGGAAGATCGCTTGGGGCCATCCCTGGAAGAATACTCACAGATACGAAGAGAGGATCTGATTGCGATAAGTGACCTCGCCATGTATAACTAGTGCGTGACATTTCTCGGGTAAAACACGGCGTCTAACCTCACATTCTATGCAGCATGGAAATGCGTCACCATGTGATCACCCCTATTTATCGATTCCGTCGCGTTGTGGATCGACTCCTCTCGACATTTGCGCCATTCGTTTCTGGAGCGTCCCTCACCGACGTGCTTTCGAGGGTTCCTTTCCCTACCAACGCAGCGCGAGGCTGGCTGCCACTCTATACGATGGTCACTTTCAGGCCTGACATCAATTATGCCACCGCAAAACGTAGGGCACAATTGCAGACCAGAATCCTTGACTACTGTGGATGGCTTGCTGGTGCCACAGCCTTCAGTTTGTCAGCACTCGGCGCCTGGAGATTCGCAGTATGGAACGGGGTGCTTCGCAGGTAATGACAGGCACCGCCCTCGCCAGGGTCTCCTGCCAGATATAAAGCTATCTGTGTACCACGTGTGGTAGAGGGGGTAGGTGGCCTCAGGAGCTTCCCAAATTATCCCCTGCATGTAAATAGCATCGTCAGCGCTTCTGATGCAAAGGAGCGCGCGTGAGTCCAGATGACTTGATAACATTGCCTCTTGTGTACATATATACACAATGATGAACCAGCGCTGAACTGGCTAATGGACACCATGAAAACGGTCAAAACTACAACAACAGGACATTCATAACCTTGTCAAATGTAGAGTGTCTGAAATGACGGTGCGTCTTCCCTCCTTTGAGGGACAAGATCCCGCCCACCTGCATGTCCCAGTGATCTAAATTGATTTCATCTATTCATCATCCTTTGTTGTTTCCTCTATTTCCTCCTCTGTCGTTTCAACTTTAGTCTTCTTTGTCGGGCGGCCACGCTTTCGAGGAGATTCTGCCGTAGATTCTTCCGTAAAGGGTCCACCGGGCTGTAGAAACTTCATGAGTTCACAGAAACCTTTTATACCAGAAAATGCGGACTTCGAAAGATCTCGTCAGCCGCTTGCTGGACTCAGGAGAAGACGGTTCAGCAGCGAGCTCTACTCGAGCAGCAGCTGCCGCCGCGGCTTCAGCCGCAAGCGTTTTCTTGTTCTTTGAGCCCGGCGGTCGCCCTCGCTTTCTGGGACCTCCTTGTGCTGGCGCAGTTCCCCCTGCACTAGGAACTTCGGAGAAACTAAGTTGTTGCCCTGTGTCAAGTGGTAGAACGTAGAAATCATACCAGGAGCGTCCTCTTCATGGATGACCGGAACTTCCTCTTCTTCTTCAGCTCGTCTCTTGGCTGAAGTAGACATGAGAAGGGAAGAGAGAAGGAGAGGTCAAAGTGACAGGAAAGAGAACAAAAGTGAGACCGAATGTTGGGGGAAAGGGTTTGGATGAACGGCAGATTGACGGGAGCTAAATACTTTCGTGGGCATTATGAACAGAAGCATAGAGGATGTTGTCGGCGAGGAGGCTGGCAAAAGGCTTCTCTCGGACCGTAAGAAGTGAGGGATGGGAGGGGGGTCTGACTTGCGAGACCAAACTGAATGGGGGTCTGAGTGCAGTAATCTCAGGTTGCATGTTGTCCCCAGCTTCGTTGGCTCAGGGGCTGGTACTTAGTCCGGGCGGTTTTCTCCCGCTCCCCTGGACGCGTTTGGCGCCCACACAACCCTCTTTCCTCCTTTGCATGTTCGGTCACGGTAAAGGTATCAGGGACAGTCCATGCCTCTGTTGGCCTCATTATAACTCCGCTCCTAACGGATGTTTGCGGAGCAAAGAGGCGCAAGATTTCGCACTCCGATCAGACCGAACGGACCGCCGGTCTACAATGGCTCTGCCCCCGATTTCATCACAAGAGATTATTGTGTTGTGCAGCACCATCTTCTATGCGACTCAGGCCACGCCGAACAACGTGACTTAAACTCTCAGCAGTGAGCGTGAAGTGGAGTATCCCTGCCATTAATGCGCCGATTGTACCACACGCGCCGGCCAGTGCGTGCGGACGTCGAACCGTTATGAGCCGGGAATGTTCCGCATATTGATGAAAAAGCGGCAACCAGGTGCGGCCGTGCCAGTATTAGCACGTCCCCGCAAAGACTGGAACACCGACCCCCCCTGAGGTGTTGCTATGCAACTGATAATCAGACAGCCAAGAAGCGTCGGAAATCGATCGGCCGCCGGGGTTGTATCGGGACAATTTTGGAACACGAGGCCGGGACGATATTTCATGACGCGAGCTCGGGCTTACATCCACAGGTTTCGGAATACACACAGCGACGCAAATTTGTTCTTGAACCACCGATGGATGCGATTGATCATCCACGCTTCTCTGCTCCTACAAGTCAGGCTTCCTGGGTCTTCCTACACAGCATACCTTGGAATGCTGGCGTGTGTGCTCCGTACCTCTCAGGTGACCATGGGCGCTTGGAATTGTAAGGAGCACCACCCCCAATAGGTCCACGATCATACTGTAAATATCATAAGGCAACGATGAATGTTTACTTCTGGCGTCCCTGCCAAGGTAATGAGAAAAGTACTTCTAAATCTAGTCTATAGAATCTAGTCTACACAACCGCACGCCAACGGCGGGTTAGGACAAATGATACCATCGCAGCGTAGAGCGAAAAAATGGTGCAGGCCGCAAATGTGGGGCTAAAACAGATAGTGCCAGTACATGTGTTATGCCCACCGACATGCTTCGAGACCGCTGTGTACATGAAAGTGAAGATGGGGGTGCCAATTAAAGGTGCGTCTGTTGAAGTAGGTGAGAGATCGGGGATTTGGGGATGCATGGACCGAGGCTCACAGCTGATGATGCCCCAATTCCTACCTAAATTTCGATTACCCCACACGCTGGCTGTTACGGTTGGTCTGAAGGGTTTCACATCAGTGTTGTGACTCTGAACCGATGCGAAGACTGACGTTATTGTGAACACCGTACCGTAGCCGGCACCCGTAGTAGCGCTCAGGACCCACAAGCTTTTCTCAGAACGAAGTCCCCATGCCGTCCATCCAAAGGCCACGGCCAGTGTAGCGGAAGATATAGTCACAAAAATTAACCTGGATACTCGACGCGCTCCGGAGGAAGTCGGTGCGCAGATTCGATCTGCCAGCAGTCCAGAGCCGATTCGAGACACAGTGTTGAAGGCTGAAATGAGCTGCACATGAAGTTGCCTGACAGATAGGGACGTCGATGGCGACTGAAGGGTGCTGGAAGCTGAAAATGCGTATGTGATTGCAAAGCCTCTCGAATCTGGCATCAGCGCTTGAACGATTGTGCCGATATTTGCCATAACCATTTCACACTGTTGTGCGGATGAGATGAAGTGCCTGTCATCCTCGCACAAGAATGTCACATACCGTGCCAGTCGTGACTGCGATGATAACAATGAACAACCAAAAGTGGGGATCCCTCAGCAAGTGTGGTAACGGCTGATGTAGTTCACTCTCTGGCTCCTCGGGCCGTTGGGCAGGTATCAGAGGGGTGTTTTCACTTGGAGTCTCGGGAAACTCTGCAGGAGGATTTTCTGACGTTATCGGCGGCACAGGATCAGTCTTTCTAGAGGTTTCATCTCGTGACCATATCTGCAATCCGCCAGATCCTATCAGATTGACCATGCCAAGTAACACCGCGAGAAAAACCAAAAAGCGTGCGGAGTCAAGAAGACCAGTTGTTGCATCCAAAAAGAACGTGGAAGCAATGCTCGACAGGAAGAGGGGGGAGAGGCCGAAGACGGACAAAGGAACACCAGTTGCAAGTCCTGTAGATTTGGGAAAGTTCCTGCTGCTTGCGAACAAAAATCCAAAGTATCTATTGCAATCATGAGAAAGCAGCTCTCAGAGGCTCAATAAAAGCGACCCACGACGAGACCGTTCCTAAACCAGCGAGAAAATTGAGCATAACGAGCCATCGAATCGCAATCCGGGAATTCGAAGGTTCAGAGGAATATGTAGATAAAACATACTCCATGCCTCCATACCCGGTCATGTAAAGGAATGCGCCTCCGAGAGAGCAACTTTCACACAACGTTGGTAAGATCCGGGATGAATTAGGTGAAGACACATACGCCCACGTCCCGAATCGATCCATGATCATGCCCACCACAACTGCAAATACATACTGGCCCATTAAACCCCTGCAAGACCCGAGCAGGTTAGCAAAAAAAAATCAGGAACATAAAAACATGACATACGCCAGCGCAACATTTGTAAGGTCTATCTGATCCACATGCAAGCGCAGTGCTATCGACGGTGACAGGAGCGGGAATATGAAGATGCTTCCATTGCAAACACTTGGAACGTGAACATCGTTATGCAGGTAAAAACATGACCGACACCGGAATGAACATACGCAGTGGCGAGAACACAAAGAGATGTGCAGGCAAGTTTGACCCGTAATGGGATATGCATGGGAGCAGAGAGGTGTGGTGGTAATCCGTCTTCCAATTGAGACCCAACTTGCTTTACCGAACCGAGCTTTCACATAGACACTAGTTGGCAAGTGAATTTGGAAGAGCCGAACACGCTGTTAGCACGATGCAGACGTTAGCGGTCGGGCTCACAGATCCGACGATGTGATAGCTGCGGCAAGTACGGCAATGGGATTTGGATTGTGAATGAGTGTGGTGGTCGGGGAAGAAGCTGCGTAGTGTGACCGCATGCGTATAAGATGAGACAGGCCAGGAACCACAAAATAGATGCCACTCTGCTTCCGCGGGGACGATTTGGCTTGCATCCGAATCATCCACAATCAGATCCATCCGTCTTCTTCCGTTTATCCCTTCGCAACGCGGTCATTCATTCCTTCATCTCCGTCTCAGGGTTGAGCATTACTATGGTTGGTCCAGGAGGTCCGTTGTCTATCCAGGCATTGTTGGAACAGCAGAAGGCAGAACAAGAGGCAACTTCTAAGGCGAGTAAAGCATTCTAGTCCCATATTCATGCGAACTGACGCGTGGCGAAACGCAGCCGAAGTTCCTCACTAAAGCGGAGAGACAGAAACTCGCGCTGGAACGACGAGAGCAGGACATCAAAGAGCAAAAGGACAAAGAGGAGAGATCGACACAAGAGCGAGATGTTCTGGAAAAGCAGGCCAATGAGCTGCGATACCAAGGTCAAGCTTATTCCGGCCCGGGTCGAGGAGCTCTGGATCGACCAAGATGTATGCCGCCCGTCATACGTTCGCCGATCGATGCTGAACCATTGTAGATGATGATCGCGATCGACACCGCGACAAGCGGATAAGAGATGAGCCTTCTAGACCAGCATACCACCACCAGCAGGGCATCCCAACTGGCCCGCGCGCGGATCGGCTTCGAAATGGCGGTCCACCGTCAGGACCGAGTAGCGCTGGACCTGCAAGTGGTAGTGCCACTCCATCTGCACCATCAGGACCATCATTTTCTGCCCCAGGAAATGCACAAGCATCTACTTCGACTCCCTCCTTACCGAGCATGACTGAAGATGACTTGTCAGCAATCCGCTCACGCTACCTCGGCGTTGACAAGAAGAAGCGCAAAGTGCGCAAGATGAGCGATCGCAAATTTATCTTCGACTGGGATGAACAGGAGGACACCGGGGACGGTGCCGAAACTTCGACGCCTGCAGTGAGAGCCGGTGTTATGTTCGGTAGAGGGCATCTTGCTGGCATGGATGACGGTGCACACGGCGGAAGAGGACAGGACGAGAAACATGCTGATCCTATGGAACGACGTCAAGCCGCACGACATACTGTGGACGAGCGGCATTGGACAGAGAAAGCCCTGCCTGAGATGAAAGACCGTGACTGGCGCATTTTCCGTGAAGACTTCAGTATTGCTGCTAGAGGTCAGTGGCTCTTCGGCTGGCTTCTGTACCAGACTCTGACCGTCATTCCAGGTGGGCACATACCTCTTCCTCTGCGTTCGTGGCAGGAATCGATCATACCCGTCCCCATTCTCGACATTATCGCAAAAATCGGATACGAAGAGCCATCCCCCATCCAGCGACAGGCTATTCCAATCGGACTACAATATCGAGACCTTATTGGTGTTGCAGAGACAGGTATGTACAGCTCCCATAGTGCGTGGATCGCTGAACTGAGCGCGCTGTTCCTAGGGTCCGGCAAAACCGCTGCCTTCGTGATTCCTATGTTGGTCTACATCGGAAAACTACCTCCACTAACTGACGATAACCGGCACCTTGGTCCGTATGCCCTCATATTAGCACCCACTCGTGAATTGGCACAACAGATCGAATCCGAGGCGCGAAAGTTCGCCGCTCCACTAGGGTTCAAGACTGTTTCCATTGTGGGTGGTCGTGCGGTGGAGGAACAGGCGTTCAACCTGCGTGAAGGAGCCGAAATCGTCATTGCAACGCCCGGTCGTTTAAAAGATGTCCTCGATCGGCATGTGCTGGTGCTGTCACAGTGCACGTACATCGTGATGGATGAAGCCGATCGCATGGTCAACCTCGGCTTTGAAGCGGACCTCAATTATATTTTGGATGCCTGTCCGACTGAATTCCTCAAGCCAGAAGACGAGTCTGCCGACGTCGATACAGATGGCAAGAACGCGAAGACGAGGGTAACAACTTTGTTTTCGGCAACTATGCCCCCGGCTGTGGAGCGGTTGGCGCGCAAGTACCTCCGACGACCGGCCACCATCACCATTGGCGAGGCTGGCCGTGCTGTCGACACGGTTGAACAACGCGTTGAGTTTGTTCACGGTGATGAAAAGAAGAAGTACGTCCTCCACATAGCGAAGTGAGAATTGTTGACTGACAGCTCCTCAGGCAGAGAATGCTCGAGATTCTTAATACTGGGGGATTCGAGGCGCCGATCATTGTGTTCGTCAACCAAAAGAAGACGGCAGATATGGTTGCACGGGACATCCAACGAGCTGGAGTAAGTTCCCTGTCCGTCTCTGATTGACCTCGACTGATGTCGTGGGCAGTGGAGCGCAACCACATTACACTCCGGCAAGAATCAAGAGCAGCGTGAGGCGGCACTCGCCGATCTTCGCTCTGGCAAGGCTGCCATCCTCGTCGCAACAGATCTTGCTGGTCGTGGTATCGATGTTCAGGACGTCAGTCTAGTTATCAATTATCAGATGGCGAACACAATCGAAGCATATGTGCACCGTATTGGTATGTCTACGTCACCTTACTTCTGATTAAGGTCCTCAACGATCCTATCCAGGTCGTACTGGTCGTGCTGGCAAGCAGGGCGTGGCCATCACGTTCCTCACAAACGATGACGACGAGGTTATGTAAGCTGCCTTCCTGGATGTTCCCTATTTGGCAATCCTGTGTGCTTACGTCCTTTCAGGTATGATTTGAAACAAGAGATTTCGAAGAGTCCCGTGTCCAAGGTGCCGCCGGAGCTGGCCAAGCATGAGGCGGCCCAACAGAAGGTAACAAGGGAGATGAAACGGAAGCGAGACGCCGAGGACCAGGGTTGAAGGTCTTCGCTTGCACCCGCCGGAACGGTCGCTGCGACATGAAACAACCGACGCTGGGCCTGAATATTTGTGTACTGATGTCATGTGGATGGAATTGTATAACCAACCCGTGACTGCCACTTTTGCACCACAACTGTGACGCTGGACTCGTCCTGATCCGTGTATTTTCAGGATGGATGAGCGGAAGGTCGGCTTCCGTCGGCACTCCTTTCCCGTACTTGACTCACCACGCAACGTGTACTCTCGGCCCGCTCCAGCCGTCCCGATCGACAGGGTACCGGCACTCTGTGACTTCCGAGTTTTCGGGGAAATATATCAAGATCCACAGTCTGTATGATGCGTGATCTGCCCAGGAACCCTGAAAGGGCGAACGTAAATCTTTGTGTCGCTACAAAGAAGGGTTTAACAGACGAGAATGAGGTTCCCATACTCCGTACGAAGAATGTCTGAGACCTTGATAGCTGTGCTTGAGTGATCGATCTCTGAGACAGAAGCCAATTTTTGCTTTGGGACGATACAGAATAATATTGATATTATCAGACCCGGGGTCTGGTAGCGAGTGTGATAATCTGCGGAAGTCCACCTGTCTCATTTTCATGGCCTCGTTGCAGAATAGTTCATGACCAGCGCGCCGGTACGGTATCTAGCCGACAGCTGTCCACGCCTCTGGTTGGCCACTAGGGGCACAGCTAAGAAAATAGGCTTGCGACCTCTATTTGGACTCCGGTCCCACCAGTATTTTCAAAGTTAATAATCATTAATTACCCGGCAAGGTGGAGTCCGGTCGGCCGGGAAAGGGCATGCGGCCGGTATGACCGGGAGATCATAGTGAGACAGCCGGAGAGGAGCACGTGCCCTCTCCAAGGATCAACTTTAGGAGCGTTGCGCGATAGCAATGCGAGCTACGGACAACATAGGCAGGTGATGACGCTCTACCTCCACCAGAATAGAACAGCAAGCTGTCAGCGGGTTTACACTTATCTTTGATGGTGGATTGGCAGCAGCTGACTTGGGACATGAACGGCTGTACAGCGTGCAAAAGCCATGATTGGCAAATCTTCAGAAGCTCAGAAGCAAATTCTGGCAGGATCACCAGGGGCGGTGCTCCCAACTTGTGGTGCGGATTTGGAGGAGTGATGGGCAGTTGTGATGCCAAGGATGCACTGCGAGCTTGGGTGCTGCGGGTAATGTGCGGTGCTGCTGTAGCATCGTGCCTCATGATCTGATTCCCACATGAGGAGCACGTGACATGTCACGTGACAGTGACTGGATGCGCGCCATTTGGCCCCGATGCGCCGCGCGACCCACAGCCCACATCCCATTCATCTCGCCGTCACTCGTTGCCACTCAGTACTGTGCGCCCTCTCTTACAACATCTCTCTTGTAGAATGCCACTCAGTGCTCCACTTGGCCCCAACGGCGTATTAGTTCCGGAGGCGGTTGTGGACGATGTACAGCAGTCTGACGTTGAGAGGCTGAGAGGTTCATGAACGATGTGACGAAGCTCTATGGTACGCCGATGCGGTTGACAGAGGCGAGTTCAATGCTAACTCGAAGACAGCCAACCAGCCTTCGAATGACGTACAACGCCGTTTTATGAACGATGCCAAAACGTACCATGATGCCGCACGCATCGCGTGTGTCGCTACGTCCCGTAGGTGGCCTGTACCATGCCATGAGCATCACTAGAATCACATCACAGATCCCGAAGTCTTCCCTGCGACCGCGCCAGCTCCAGCTGCTCTTCTTGTGAGAACATGCACTGTGATATCACGTTGATCGACTGACTGACGCGGTAATCTTCAGAACAGGGTGATGGAAGAACTGCGCACGCTCAACGCCAAGCTGGATGCGCAGAGTACCAAGCTGGATGCACAGAGCAGAGGTATTCATAACATTGAAAGCCAAATGAAGCAACAGGGGAAGACACTTCGTGAACTCGACATACGCTCCGCAAAAGTAAGCATCACTGTTGAGCGTTGTCACACATTTCTAATCCTCGAGTCGCCAGATGCATAATCGGACAGTAGGGGATGGCACAGAGCCAGCATACCTCATTGTCAAAAGGCTGTCTGACGATGAGAACCCACCTTCTGTCAGTCCTCTTAAGCGCTCACTTTACTCATATTGTCTAATGTTGCGCCTTGTGTAGCTGATCTACTCGATGGCCGACTTACTCGCGCTAAACCTGGATCAAGCTATGGCTGTCTGTCATTTCTATGATTCTCATTTCCGCACTGCGGGGAATCGTGAACTTGGATCATGTCGAGTGTTCATCGCACGCTCAATCGGCGTACATACGCATGTGGTGATGGACATTCCGATGGACCATTAGTAGAAACACATTTCCATACAAGACAGTGCGAGACGAATTAGCTGTATGTTTCTGTAGTTCTGTAGCATTGATGAATACAACCGCCGAAGACTTCAAATCTAGGTGGGGTCACACCATGGCTAGCTTTCCTAGGAGGGACTTCGAGCAAAACAGGAGCATATGCCTACTCATGGTCATGTTGCAAAAGAAGGCGCGAACAAGCATCTTTGAAGTGGGATGATCAGTCGGCTTCTCCAAGTTGGATTGCATGACGCAATCGTCAAATGTAAATTTATCATCCTGCAATGTGGGGTTGGTACGGAAACTGTTGAGCATCATGATGTGCTTCGTGAGGGACTGGAAGCGCCAAATGCGTGTAAGCCGAAGGACCGGGGCTGAGAAGGGTGTTTCGTAAGACTTAAGAAGGAATTTCCAACATGTGGAGAAGAGTTGAGAGGGGCCAGACGACGTCAGAGGAAGAGACTCCACCTGAGAGGCACAGTCCCCTACCCGAGCCTTCTTCCCGAGACTGTAGGAGGGCGTGTCAACTCCAACTGATGATGAACTTGAAGGGAGAGGTATAATGAGGAAGAAATATGGGTGATAAATGATGTGTTATTATCCCCCCTCTCATCCAGTCGTTAACTGAATTATTCTCAATAATCCACGGCCTTATCTCATATCAGAGTGCTCTGACTCGACTTTCCCCGCAAGTAAATTCGCCCTCGTTCGTCGCGCCCCGTGCTGTGCCCGGCCCATCGCGACACGACTCCTAGAAAACCCGACCGAGGCAACGTTTGACGCGTCTTCCCTACTGGCATCCCTCCTCTCTTTCTTCTCAACGTCCACCTTCTCTCCTCGTTGTATGCATATATCCTCTATGGCTGCTGCCAATGATCCCTTCTGGTATCCTAAGGACTATGTCGCAGAGTCTGAACGTCGTCGCGCTCGTCTTGCAAACGTAGACGCCGCCCTCCAACCCGTCAAGCAACCTCGATATATGCCATCAAACGAAGCCTTGATCGAAGTCGCAAAGGCGCAGGCTGAACGCAGACTCAAGGAAGCCGCAGCCGCACACGCAGCACAAAGGACCAGCGCAGGCGCACCGACGATGCCCAACCCACGTCCTGCAGCGAACAGCATCTCCTCTGCAGACAAAGTAGACGCCTTCCTCACCCAGGCTACACTGCGCAACCAAGCATCATCCAATCGTATCACCTCCGGCTTCAGCTCCCTCAGTGATAGCGATCGCCGCCCGCGTCGCATCATCCTCGAGCAAGGCAACATCTCCATCTCCATCCAGGACGTACGCGCTCCCGTTCCCAAGCTAGCCCCTCCTCCCCCTCCCCCTCCAGCACCCAAGCTCGCACCAGCAGCAGTCATAGTCTCAGCTCCCCCCTCAGTGCCGAAGGCCGCTCCGGCCCCTGTTCTCCTTCCGGCCCCATCACACCCTCGTCGTTCTTCAGGAAGCAGCATCCACACGCCGCGTCTAGAGGCTGTCCCAGAGAACGCGGCTACCGAGGTGGGCCGAACACAGCTTGTCTCCTGAATTACCAACTGACCCTATTGTATCAGACCAACAGAAGCAGCAGACGCGCTTCGTTCGATAGCAAGTCTTCTCCTCTGACTGCTGCGGTCCCTCTGGCGGCTTCAGCCCCTATCCGCACATCTCCTATCCTGGGAAGGCAAGGGCTAGACGCACCCCTGCCCCCTGTCTACCTATCCCAGCGCACTACGGCCCCAACTTCTCCCCCAACGTCGGCAGGATCGGTCCCTTACAGCGCGGACTCGTCCAACTCGCGCCAGTCGGAACGCGAACGCGAGCAGGAGATCCTGAACACCCTCGCTTCTCCTCTCACGCCTGCCAGCAGCAGCTCCAACCTTTCTGTCCATTCCAGGCACTCTGATGCCTCGGCCTCTTCTTCCAATCGCGATCGCGATCCATCTACTCCACCGAAGCCAACAGCACATGCTTCCAAGACCGTGCGCGTGCGGACCCTGTCAGAAAGCGTGATAAGGGTACGTCACGCCCTCCAGAAAAGGGCACGGCCCGACCCGAGTGCGCTGTTTACTAACTCCTTCCTGCTCTCTTAGGCTCCTCCCAATACTCCCGTCAAACCCAAGAACCCGACCGCACCACCTGCACCTGTTGGGATTCTCAAGCGTCCCACGGCGCACGTTGTACCGCTAGCAAGCATCTCGCCGTCCTCCGATGCCCTGAGGCACATCCTCCCTGCTGTTGCACAGCCGACTGCCAGCGCGCCCGCCCAAACTACCTCGGTACCGCGCAATGCTTTTGGAGAAACTGTCCAGATTCCCCTGTTGCCTATTAAGGTTCCTGTTGTTTCGGCAGTTGCTGTTCCCCCTCCTGCTACTGCTGCTGGCCCGCCCGCTCCTGGGCCGTTCCTTGCTCCCGCCCCCGTACGCCACGGGCGGCCGTCTGTCCCTCTCAACCCCGCGACCGTCTTCGCTGCTCTGGGTCCTGAGAACGCCGCTCGCCTCGTGCGCAAGACCCGGTTCGCCAACATGCCAGAGGAGGATATCGTCGTTTTCCGTCCTCCGCAGATGCCGGAGTCACCCCGTCGCTCGTCATTCGAGTCTGGCACCGACGCCGCCGCCCAGCGCGAGGAGTTCCGTCACACTCATAGGCGCGGCGCGTCCGCTGCCGCTGCTGGTGTAGACGGTGCCCCTCCTCCCGGCTTGCCTACAATACGCCGTCAGCCGGGTGCTACCTCGACCACTCGCCCAGCTCAGCGTGTGCCCCAACACGCTGTTGCCGCTGCTCTCCGTCACCGTGCCAAAAAGACGCTCTCCGTTGCCTCGCTTGAGGTGTGGACGGGCGAAACCACCGAAGGCGACACATCGGGGCTCGAATCCGCCCGATCGTCCGTCTACCAGACCTGGGGCACAGTCCCAGAGACCGTTGACGTCGATCAGGTCATCGCTCGATGGATCGAGCAGGATGCTGCTAAGGCTCGCGCCAACAGAGGGCGGAGGAACAGGCCCGGTGTGACGTTCGATTTTCCCGAAGAGGAGATGCCGTCCTCAACCGGGCTCACAGAGGCCGGCGTCAGTCGACTATCTGATGCTGTGAGGAACCATAATGAGCGCTGAGCGCTCTCCGCCCACGAAGTTCGACCTACTCGCTCATCTCGACTTCGCGATTGTACGATACTGTACCAACAAACACGCGAGCGTGGACCGTTCGCCCCTCGCTTTACGACTTACGATCTGGATCGAATTTCAACTTCAAATTTCGAATAACAGCTTTCAATGTTCGCTCTCACCTTTCTCTCGCATTCCGGGGTCTTATGTGTGACACTACCTATGCTTACCATCGACTGATTGATGTTCGACACTCGACCACACGACACACGAATATCTTCTGTGGGCTGCTTGCAGTCCTTCTCGAGGGCGCTGTGCGCCAAACTAATCCGATTGGCATTCGCCTTGGCAAATAGGCCGACGATGTACCTTATCCGTATCCCTATCCGTCCCCGTCTCTAGTCTGCTCGCTGTGTTGTACATCATACGCCTTTCGCACGCGATGCCCTCCTCCTACCGTCATCCGACATTGACACTGTGTCTTCCATGTCGGCAGGTCTCTATGTTACTATTTCGGCGCTGCTATTACCTCGGCTCATAGTCGTCGGTCTCGCGCTGACGCTGTATTCTGTGTGGATTGGTCTATTTGGTTCTCTCTCGACTGGGTCGGTCCGCGAGGATCCCCAGTCCGATACTGCGGACCAGGTCGAAGGCATGCAAGCCTCCCCAATCTCAGTGAGCGCGCGCAAAACTTGGGTTGCAGGCCTTGCCTCCTCATTTTTATGCTGCCTTGCCGCGTGGGTTGTAGGTGCCTCTCGCCATTCGTGACCCTCCCTATCCTCCGAACCTGACCCTCCAACAATTCCTCAATTTCGGCTCCATCTTTCTGGCTGTAGGTGTATGTCTCCCGAGTCCATCTATGTTGTTTTAAGGTATCGTACGGTAGTGTGGGGATGCGTAATGGAAACACGTTGCGAGAACTACCTGAACCTATTCGAGATCCTGGTGTGGAGCTCTGAGTACTTGGGAGGAGACTATGAGGAGTTCCACGTTTTGCTCCAGAAGATGTGCATTTGGATAAATGGTCACCGTTCGTTCTTTTGTTCATCTGATGTCTGCAAGATTCAAGGCATTCACCTGGTGGAGGTCGACGTAGAAGATCGAGACGAAAATCTTCATTGACATTTTCAAGGAACAAACTTTACGGTCTTTCCACGGACTTATGTCAGAGCTTGGACGGTATTGTATGTGGTTGGCTTCTGCGTGTGTCAGCTTTCGCTCGGCACCTTCGAAGGAAAGGCTGAGTTGGCCACCAAAACAACCCTGTGGGAGGCCCAAGATCCTCTGCCCGCCGGTACACCGTCATGTTTCTTTCTGCCAACTCAGCATCTATATACAATAATGGACTTCTGGTCAGCATAGCCAAGGAGTTTCCAGAATGCCAGGTGCGGAACGCGCTCCGCAAATTGCGGCTCTTGCGGGCGAACCCTTCCTATCTCTGGTCATTCTAAACAACTGGGGATTTTTCACGTTGGACTCTCCGAAAAGCACGGGGCCGTTATCGTAATATCCCTGAATTCTGAAGACCGGCAATTCCTGGCGCCGGTCGGCTCTCGAAGAAACTAGGATATCATCACTGCATATGCAACCTAGAGGAATCTGGGGCCCTAAACGCTCACAGACAGCCCGAGTTAAGGCTTCTTTTCTCCCGCCTCGCGGGCCGCGGATCGAACTGCGGGGTTGCGGCTGCTTTCTCATATTCGGTGGTAGGCTACATCCACCAGTTCCGGAGCTTGGGTTGGGTTCCCAAATAAATCGAGTGCGGTCACCACGCCTGAATTCGTTGTCAGGTGAGAAGGCGGGGATGTGGTGAGAATCGACTCATGCCACATCGCATCACCACCTTGGTATCCCTAGCCAGGTGACGAAGAACATCAGATGGTCCATCGCCCCGGATTTGCCACAGAGAAGAAGGGCGTGCGGCTGAAATGCCGAATACGTAGGCTGGACGACTTCTAACTGGCTGAGTTGAAATATGGCGGGCTGCGGAAGCCACATCCGCACGGTCCACGGACCGAGTGTTCTGCCCGTCCCTTGATGGAAGTATGACGAAACAATACGATCGCCGTGTTTCTTGTCGAGTGTGTCGTATTTGAATGAGGATGAGGCTGAAGTAATATCGGAGATCGACCCGTTTCTCGCTTTAGAGGGGAGGGGGGACAAACATAGGCATAAGCACAAGTGCTGACCCGGCAAAATTACATGACAGATTAAAAGCCCAATATCCCTGTAAAACCTACAGTACAACTCTGTCTTCTTCTGATCTTCGAGAGCTCGCGGTGACATATCAACTAGTTCCATTTGTGTGGAACGTGCTCCACATCTGGGTGTCGTCCCAAAGCAATGGATCCAAGAAAGATGCGTTGAGAGTGGGGTCTGGGAATGATGGTTGCAAGAAAGGAATATCGTAACCTCCCAAGAGGGGTTGACCGCCAACTGAGCTGCTGTACAGCGCAGGAGGAAATCCGGCGCTCTGCGAGAAAGCTGAGCCGCTCGAGGCTGTGACAGGCGAAGTCAGCGACCACCCGGATGGTGCGACAACCAAATTGCTTACCACTTTGGAAATCTGTGTTGATGGGGAACAGACTGGGCTGTGTTGATGCAGTGTGTGACCGTGTGGCACCGCTCAACGCCGATTCCCCGGAACCAACCAGGGTATGGTTTGGTGACACATCATCTGTTTATGAAAAGTTGGCACCACCGCAGAATATCTTCAACAAGTCTGCTCACCTCCTGGGCTCTTGCCCTTACGTTCGATTCTTTCCATGGCATGCTGGCCAAGTTTTGCGAGCGCTTCCGCAGACCACCACTGATTGCCGAGGGCGGCGAGGGCTCTGTGGGCCCTCTCCCAGTCGGCTCGGAAGCGCATTCTGTGCATCTGGAGCTTCGCCTCCCTGTACTGGCGATAGGAAACCGTCATGGACAGCGTCAATGCATATGGGATGACCGGAATAGGAGGGAGCTGTGCGAGATTCTCCTCATTCGATATCTTGACAATACGCAGTGCCGAAAGGGATTGAAGGATACGCGATGGTGCCGAGGGAGGTAAGGGGGTGGAATGCCTAAGACGGCAAGACAAGATGGCTACACAATGGTAATACAACTCGAACATCGCTGAGAGACTCATTAGGTCACGCCAGGAATTCCCGTGGAATCAAGATGACATACCGATTTGTTCGGGAGTCAAGGTTTCAGCATCTTCACCGACCACTTCCTCGAAGGTAGGGAAGCCGTGTTCCCACGGGGTCTCAAGTTTTTGGCTGGGTCTGTACAGCGCAATGACCTTGTCCAAAAACGACGTGATCTTGAGCCACAGATCAAAAGCTCCATACTTCGCCTTATCCTCTGGAGTGTCGCAGAACGAGGCCGGTCTTTCTGGAACGTCCCGTTCGTGAATGATGACTGCTCTGCCGTTGATGCCTGCATTCAAGCGGTCGAGGCTCCACAGTGCCCAAAACAGGCGTAGGTTACGCTTATCCTCGCCCGCGCCAATGCCGCGGCTCAAGTGGAGCCCAATTGTACCGGCGTGGTGAACAGCATCAGAGAGTCGCAGAGATGCTTCTTCATTGCCATTGAGGCCTTCTGCATGCATGGATGCCAGCATGAGCGTTTGGATCAACGTGTATTTGTCTCTTTCGACCTCGGCTTTCAGGAGGGCTGTCAAAGTAGCAGCGACCGCACGAGCAAATGCACGAGGTTCCACATGAAGGCCGTCGAAGGTGAAACGCAGGTGGGGCCTTGCCGACTCATGTCTGCAAGCAACGAGAATCACCGCAAGCATGAGCACAAAGGGAAGCCGTCCCTTCTCATAGGCATGGCGAAACTGCTCTTCATCTATAATTGGGATAATGTTGTTGACGTGATTGAAGTAGATGTTGAAAAAGGCAAGAACATCTGGCCTGTCCGGAAGTTTGAAGTTTTCTGCCGCGCGGATGTGTCCTTCGAGTGTCGCGATGGCAGAGTATTGAAGGTCCTCCTGACGCTCAGGTATGTCTGACATCTCAGAGCCTGGTGATTGTGGGTCAAGCACCTCTGGTTTTGTTGAATCATTGTCGTCGACCTTGTGGTGATGACGAGGCTGTTTAATCCACACGCCGATGTCGCCCCTTTCGTGGCTGCTTGCCCGAGATGACGCGTGCGAAGAAGGCGTCTCCTCGAGGAGCTGAGCTTCAGGATTCAGGTCACCCACGAATCGGGAAACCCTTCCTCCTTTCCGGATTGCATTTGTCGCAGCACTACCACCAATGGAATCCTGGGGGCTCTGAGTTGGGTTGGAAGCAGACATGGCAGTGGAGAGCAGGTCCTTGCGCTCTTCCTCCGGAGTAGGGAGAGCAGGGACAGAGCCTTGATATGACGACATTGAGGGCACGCTCAACGTCCTTTCCGCCGGGCCATTCTGCCCAAACGAGGCGGATCGACTCGGTGCGGGGGGCGCACCTTCGCTCGCGGTCAGACTGTAAAATTTTAGACATCAACCCGCAGGTCCCTGATAACGCGCTGGGAAATAATAACTGCACAACATACCTGCACGGGAGCCCATCTTTCTGACATAACGCGCATACTTCGTCTGGAGAAGGCTCACAGCGACGCTATAGTGAGCGGATCAGTAAGGCGAGCGGATGGATAGAGAGGAGGAGGGCAAAGCGGCACGTACCCGCCTCTTCCGGCACTGGTCGCAAGCCCTGTGGACTCGCTTTCTCTTTCGGTACTGATCGTTTTGTGCCGAGAAAACGATCATGTTACCGGTGTAATTGGTCGGGATGTACCCGGTGCTATAGGGCCCCTCCTGGTGGTCGTTTGTGTGAGCCACGATTGCAAAGTTGACCGGGGGTTGTTGGAGGATATGCCAGCTTGAGGGGAAGGACTTCGAGGTGGGTGCTTACGCCACATTGAGCGGAAAGGCATCCGCCGGACCCTTACGGAACACGGGGACATTTCCCCAAAGGGAATACGTTCCGCGTCTTCTTCCGTTCCGTGCCTCTTTTGCATGAAACTGGAGCAACGCCGACCGTCGGGTGCCCTCCTCGAAGTCCACCCGAAGGGGGCCCCCCAGAGATGTGGTGCTACACGAAATACGGAATAATGGGACCCCTCATCCCAACTAATGTTCTTCTCGACAGTGTGCTTCTATCTCCAACCATTCCGAGGACAATCTCCGATATAAATACCTGAGCTTTCAATGCTAACTCAACTCGCCAAGGACACCCTCGACTCTCATCTTGTCGCCCTACGACTTGCGACAATGCCGGTCCTCACTCAAGGTCCCACCATCCTGCCGCACCTCATGCCGGTCTCCCACATGACTAAGATGATGGGACGATCCTCCATGACTCCCACCTTTGCAAAGCCGGAGGGGGACATCTCGTCTGTCTTTGCTTCGTTGTCCGACCGCGTCCAGGAGCTTCCCCAGCGTTTCGCTACGCTGAAGGAACAGATCCTGGGAGCTAACGCTCAGCAGCGGGGGAAGCTTGAAGCCAGCTGGCAACGGCTTGTCACTTCACTTGAGACGGAATTGAATGAGATAGTCAGAAGGGGGAGCGAGGTAAGCTACTTGCGGCTCTCACGCTCGCTTCCCCAGGGATTGACTTCGACCTTCTTAGGTGATCCCTGTTCTTGATTTCTCGGACATCTCCAGCGCATCGGACAGCACGAGGGAGGAAATTCGAAAGAGAGGCGCGTGCGTCATCAAGAACGTCGTTCCGAAGGAGCAGGCCCTTGAGTGGAAAGATAGGCTGCGTTCCTATATCAAAGCCAACCCCTCCACCAAAGGTGTGAATATTTACTTCATTCTTCCATCTTCACAACACTGACCTCGTTTCCTTCTTCCCAGCTTTCCCTCCTAAAGACCCCCAGGTGTACGAGCTTTATTGGTCGACCAGTCAGATGGAAGCTCGCGCACATCCCAACCTGCTCCTGGCGCAGCAATTCCTAATGAGCTTGTGGGATGACGACACGGACCGTTCCAACCCAGCCGAGGCCATCAGTTTCGACCACAGCGCAACGTACTGCGATCGCTTGCGCATCCGACAGCCGGGCGACAAGACCTTCTCTTTGGGGCCCCATGTTGATGGAGGCGGAGTTGAACGCTGGGAAGATCGCGAATACCGCAACCTCTATGCCCCGATTTGGAACGGTGAGTGGGAGAAATACAACCCGTACTCCGTCCGCGGTCGTCTTCGCGCCAACATGGACCTTTATAACGGACCAGGCGCCTGTTCGATGTTCCGGATGTTCCAGGGTTGGGTACGTATATGCACTTTGTTCCGAACCACACTAGTGCTCATAGTTCGTGAACAGTTGAGTATGTCCGCTGTAGGTGCACATGAAGGCACCCTCCTCGTCATGCCGCTCATCCGACAAGCCACCGCATACTGGCTTCTTCGCCCCTTCTTCGGACCTCCGGGCCACACCACCGCCGCCGCCGGGGCGGACCTTTCTGCCGATTATCTCCGCTCTTTCCGTCTCCTCCCAAAGCAGACATCCATCCTGCATGGCGCCACGCCCGGCATGGCGCAGGAGCTTAGCGCGCTTCTCCATCCACACCTGCGACTGTCGAAGGCAATGACCCATATGCCGAGGGTTCAGCCGGGCGACTATGTCGCGTGGCATTGCGATACGGTCCATGCTGTCGATCCCGAGCACCAAGGCAAGACCGACAGCAGCGTGCTCTACATCCCTACCACCCCGCTGTGCTTGAAGAATGTAGAGTATCTCGCAGGACAGCGCGAGACCCTCCTCAGTGGTATGTGCCACCTGATGTTACACCGAGATTGATGCTGACTTGCCGTTTCCAGGGACACCTCCCCCTGACTTCCCTGGTGGCATGGGCGAGTGTCTGCATGTCGGCCGTGGCACAATCGAAGACGCTGAGCGTGTCGGTGGCATCGAAGCCGTTCGCGCGATGGGGCTTGCTCCGTTGGATCTGACAGAAGCACGCAACCCTAGAACGAAGGCACTCTTCGCGGCTGCGAACCAGATTTTGGATTTTTGAATTTTATTGGGATGTAGTCACTGGGAAAATAGATCTTGGCACATGGACGTACTTTTATTAGCTTGCTTCTACTGGACCGCTCTCCGAGTACATGGCAATTTCTTAGGGCAATGGTTGTAGCAGTAGGCACTCTTGGATACCCAATCAATGATCTGGCATTATATATTAGCAAGCATGTTGTAACTCCGTGGAGATCCACGTGGAAGTCACGCTGTAGGCCACAACTGGCCTGGTGCAGTTCGCCCAGACCCTTTGTATTGCGGATAATAATGGAAGCCTATCATGTGATGGACAGTGAGTAAAAACATCCGCTACATCGATATCCGCGACACAAACTGAGCCCATCATAACAGCATGGCGGGTCTCATGCTTTGCCTCTATAACAGCTCGTTCTGCATGGGGAATGTCACCAGCGCTCTCAAGGGATGTCTTTCGATACTGACTTATGGACGCTCTCCAAGCTGGACACCGTCATGTTCCAGCGCGACGAATCGCCCATCACCTGGATGGTTACAACAGGGCCGTGGTTGATTCGCGCACACGAGAATGGGAAGATCTGCGCTACGCGCTGGCTAGGCGATCTTTCCGGGCAGTTACCGTCTCTTCTTTCGAATGGATCCCTGAAGACGCAGGACTTCATCGCGCTAACGCTCGAATCACGTCCGGCGCTATCGCTCAGACCCCATCGGGCATCCAAATCCTCGTCTCCTACGAGGCTGTCAGCCGCAAGCGGCGCACGGATTCGAAGGAGGCTTTCAACATGACGGCAACTTCCAGGTCGAAACCCACTACTTATCTCCTCCTGTTGGGGTCTGGAGGTTTCACCTTCCGGCGTGAGATCTTGCGTTCTTCTGAGCCTGTCGCATTCAATGGCACATACGCGAGGTTCTTTCGCTTGGACGATGAAGAACACCCTCATATACGCAAGGTATGGAGAGACGAGGAGACCATCTCCCCTGAGGTCCTTCGAGAGTTATGGGTATGTCTTCGGCATCCCTCGTTTGTAGAATCCCTTCGTAATGCTCATTCTTGACAGCACGGCAGCCTTACAGGGACTTTCGTAAATGGTTATCTTGTTACCATCAGCGATCAAAGCGACAGGGTCTATCTGACCGGCGTTGACGATATTGAGAAATCCTTCACCTCTGGGGTTGAACCCGACAACCTGGACGTGTCCTTGGCTGCTGCTCCCCAGCGTGTCAAGGTTTTCGAGACGCCAAGCGAGGGTATTGCGTGGGGAGTCAAGGAGACAGGAGTGATACGGCTGTATTGTTCTCCGACGATGTCATCTTCGGCCTCTCCGACCAACTGGGCTTTGGCGACTATCCCTGATACCGAGGTTGTGTTAGATTTCACGATCCCCGCGCAATTCGACGTTCTTCTCTATCTCTCGCGTGACCGTACTGCTAAATATACGGTCATCAAGAAGATAAAGCTGCCGTCTCGACCTGCCTGGCCCACCGCGGAGTTTCAGCAGTGCGCCAAGGCCGATCTCATCGCTGACCCAGACTGCCAGCAAGACGTTTTGCGACATGCGAACTTCATAGCAGTCGCAGACAAGGAGGCGACCGTACTCGTTGGAAGGATTGGAGGACGACTTTGGATACGGCTCAAGTACATGCATGCCAGCCACCGGAGGCCAACGGCTCGGGTTTCGGTGGACTGGGATCTCACGCATTCCTATAATGAGGCGGCCATCGTCGAGGCGGCCACCAAGGTGAACACTTCATCAATTTACTATCGTCGTGTTTGAACTTCTGAATAGATGATACCGCCTGCCGAAGAAGATGCTGAGTTCGCGCCGCTGCGGCCGGAAGAGGTGCTGTTAGGGTTCGACTCTGGAGAAGACATGGTGTATATGGAAGAAGCCTGGACTGCCTTCCCGCTCGGTGCTGCTGCGGCGGCCCATCTTGGGTATGGTATACGACCCACCCTGCAATTGCTGCAGGGCCGCGCCGACAACGAAGTGAGCTTCTTCTCCTTCAAGTGCACCTCGCGAGAACGAACGCGTTACTTCGCTTGCTCCGTGAACGAAGCTTATTGGAAGGATCTCCACAAGCGCTTCGACTTGGTATGGGTGATATTATCATATTTTTCACTGTATTATATTATAGCATAACTATGTGCTTGAGTGTATACCCATATGTTCAGATTTGAGAGAAATTGCTATATTTGGTGAAAGCAGGGTCTTTTGTCTCCGTTGCACGCGTCCCCCTACACTGAGCCCCAACACTACTCATCTCGTGTTTTTCCTTGTTGAATTCCCATTCCCCAACACGCCAGATGAACAACAATAAGCATCGCTCGGATTTCCAAAAGCCACTCTATGAACATGGCTCAATATCAACACGCCAAGTAGGAGAGTTCTTCGGATGGAAGAATGGTGCGTTCGATATTCAAAGCGTGTTCATCCGGCTGAAATGATGGGCAGAGCATCCCGAGAACCTGCCCAATTTTGACATTCTCTCCAACCCAGATATGCGCTTCTTTGTGATGAATATATGCCTCGGTCCCGGACCGGATCCGACAGCCGAGGTGGTCGACTTTTTGCCCCGTCGAGCATACCAGGTCGTGCTGGTAACGGACTGCACCGATGGTGATCTGCTCGAATCGATGGCTGTTGCCGCTCTCGTGCGATATGGCGATACGATTAGGAATACCCTAAACGCATTGAGAATAGATGGCGAAGAAGTCACCACAAGCTACGACCCCAATTTCGGTTTGCCAATCTTTGACGAGGTCGGCCTTGAGGACGAGACAGCAATTCCGACTACTATCCCTCGGGTTAGTGTTACTGAGCTTGCAGTTACTGGGGCCATAGATTTCCGACACTATATTATCGGAAGAAACCAATCTCTATTTCGGTGGATTGCCTTCCGACCCGATGTGACCTTGTACGGTGCAGAAATACGAGCGCTAGCTCAGCTAGACTCCCATCCATATGTGGCACCTTGCAAGCGGATCGTTTTGGATCCCACTGGACGCAAGGTCGTTGGATATACTTCCCCGTACTATCTTGGTGGAGATCTCGGCGGACAGACCTCTTTTCGATCGCGGAACATTGCACAGCTGATGATCACGGTAGATGACCTGAATTTCAAGTGAGTATGTTCTCCGTTCGGCGGAATCGACTCATTTGTCATGCTAGATACGGTCTTTTTCATCGTGATCTTCACCGTAGAAACGTTGTGTGTCATGGCATACCCGCTGTGGCTAGATCACCTCGTTCATTCTTGTCTAGGTCCTGCATAATGGCGATGTGAAGGTGATCGATTTCGAATTTGCCTCCAAAGAACGATTTCCCATCGGACAGAGGACCGATGGCCAATCCGTGGGATGCATGGACGCTGCTGATGCCGATGCCGCCTGTGTCATTGCGATCGCATATGAAATGTGCACTGGCAAGTCCGCACGCGTGTTTGAGGATCCGGATCCGGAATTGCGTGAAGTGTGCAATTCGGCCAAACTGCACAGCACTCGGGGAGATGCTGTCATGGATGCTCAATGGATTGCCGGGCAATCGATTGATAGTAGTCCGGACCAAGTTAAAGCGGCCCTCGCCATCTGGCGGCGCATGCGTCTTTCCCCTCAATATACCTGGGCGGGCTACTTGACGGACATAAAGAATCAGTTGGGCGATGTATTGTGGTTAATCTCAGATGACACCCTACAAAGCAAGAGCTAGCTCCTTCGTCGTCACGCTGATACGATACGTGTTCCCTTCCTGCGTTCCCCCCCCCCCCCCCCCCCCCCCCCCCCCCCTCC